GTTATGTGATTCCGAATTGCAATTCGAACACCACTTGGAATCTCCTGCGTAATTGGCCGCATGACTGTCGTCATTGCCACCAGCAGTGTGATTCTGGGTCAAATTCGGATTTTGCGCGATCAGATTCGCAGCGGCTTGCTGGATCAGACTCGGCATCTCTTTCTTCAACATATTGGAGAACATCTGCTTCTCACGGTTCTTCTGAACGTGATCCGGGCGCGGGCCATGCTGGTTGCGAGAATTCTTGTTGCGGACCAGATTAGCTTTGTGCTTCGTGGTCTCTCCGTTGCTAGACAGAGCGCGTTCTTCCTCGACCATGTGATTCTTTGTTTCTTCGAAACTGAATCCATTAGCCAAAGCACGCTTGTTGCACTCATCGAATTCCTCGCGCATGTTCCCGAAGATACAGTGATAGCGTAACTCTTCAGCCGTAACTTTAGCGCCCAGTTTGAAATTCCAGAAGTTCTTCAGTTTGTCAATATGTTCTTCCACGGTTTCATCTTCACCCTGCTTGCTGTTGAAATATTCCTTGATCAACATGCGGCGGGCACCGGCGGTCTGCGGGTTAGCCTTTTCCTTGATCTGAAGAATCAACCAGACTACACACGCGTCAGCCCCGGGCTCTTCCTGAATGTCCTGAGCTTTGGCTCGGGCCTTTCCGGTTAAGGATTTGAATACTGTACCATACAACTTCGCGTAAGCAGCGCGTACTTCGGTTGTGTAGGTGGGCCAGAAGTCCTGTTCGTGTTTGCCGTCAGCAACCCACTGGTCGCAGGCTAACTGATCGACCTCATCCCACTTGTCCATGCAGACTTTTCCTTCTAAGTCCTCTTTGAACTGGGACCGATGTTCAACGAGAACGCCTGAGCGATCACGCTACCCTTGAACGTCTGGAAGTCCTTTCCAGTTTCTCCCTCGTGTTCCGCGTCGTACAGCATTCCGACGGTGCCGGAAGTGCTCGGACGATGGTCATCACCCGGCGCCCCCATCTTTTCACGATGAGCACGCGCGTCGCGGTTGTGTCGTCTGTTGTACTCGGTACACGCGTAGGCGGCTACCTGTACAAGAAATTTGCAATCGAATTCAGATGGTATTCAGCATTTCAAATGCGATCATCTTGTTGAATTCGCGATGCAATTACAGACAAAATCAGAATTACATTTAGACTTCTATTTTCAAAACCGATGTAATTCAGTACCTTTTTCGTGACCTGCTGTCGGGTCCTTGCTCTTGTACCGGCCTGCTGCTTGGTACGTTAAATCCGCCGCCCAAAACTGTAATAGTTTTTGTTGGGGAGGATTAACATGCGATTTTTGTGTTCTTGCCGTGCGTGTTCGCATTCAAAATTTCCAATGATTTTAGAAAACAGACCGAAAATAAGTACAATTCTAGTACCTGTCTTGTTCCTCGCTCGATGCTTCGGCAAAGGTTACGGGCTTCGTAGCGCGCACCTTTGGTCGCTTTGTCTCTCTTGCACCTGTGTAGGTGCATGATTACAAATTCTCTCTTACTTTCAAACAGCCTCTGACCGAGTATCAGCAATTGATATCACGGCAGCAAATCACCACTGTTGATTGATTTGAACTCGGTGGCTGGGGGTTATTTTGCCTAAATTTTTAGTTCAAATTCAAACAAAAATTCTATTCAAAAACACTACCAAAAATTCAAAATTTTCTTTATTTTTCTTCGTGCTTTTAGTACCTTCCTGCGGGTCTTGGTGTGGTTGGTGGTTTGGTTCTGGTCCTGGCTTGGTAGGTGTTGTCGTGTTGCGGGGGGACCAGGCTTGGTATTTGTTGTCGTGTTGGCACTGGTCGTGTCTTGGTGTCAGCGCTCAAGGCTGTGCCGTTAGAATGTCAACCGAATTTTCACGGTGTGAAGACAATCAACGACGAAGAAACGCGGGCGGTGTGAACACTGGCCATCTTGCATGTCAAGCAGAATCTAGGTGGGATTCAGTGTTTCTTAGTCGCAATCAATCTATGGTGACTATCGTCACAGCCTGTGGGGAAAAATTTAGCGTTCCAAACAACACACAAACTTTGACGTCTCAGTCAAGGGGGTAAAACATGAAAGTTCAAATTTATTCTAATCACCCTAAATTTATGAGAAATCCGATCAACCATCGTTGATCATCACTAGCTTACAGTGTGGGAATTGAATGAACTTCATTTTTGGTTCATTTGTATGAACATGCTGATTTCACTTTGGATCCAAATTTGAACGACAAATTTAGAGCCTGAATTCAATGAGCATTCAATTTAGGTCGTAGGGAATTTGCTTGGCTTATGATCCTGGTGGATTTCATATCTTGCCTAACACTTAATTATGCGCTAAAATAAGTTCCGGAAGATAAAAAATCGAAGCAGTTCCTTTTTTGGCAAGCACGCCGCGTCAGTTGTTCTGTGATCTTCGTGACGGACAAAGGCAGATATGAAGGAAAATTGCCGCTTCAGGAGTTGTGATGTTTCTTCGCCTCTTGCCTTGGCGCGCGCCGCAATGCAAAAAGAAAGCGATTGTCTCACTTTCTTTTTGCGATTGAGATTCAGAAGATCTCTGCAGTTGTCTTCCGGACAAGGCGCCCGCATTCGTGATTGTTGCGTTCCTGTTATCCCTCCACCGCTTTTTTTGGGTGGCGAGGACGCAGCCTGCACACTTTTTTCTTTTTGTTTTTCCTTTTTCATACTCGGTTCCGTTTTGTGCTTCGCCCGCGTCGAAGTAAGTTACTTTCTGGTGGATCTGGATCATGATCAAAAATGATCGGCAAGCTTCCCGTCTTCCCCTGTTTTTGAAGCTCTGTTTCGGTATTTTGTTTGAAGGACGAACCACAGTCCATGTTGAGGTGGTGCATCTACATCCACCTGTGACAACGTTTTGGACGCCAGCCGTGATGGCAGTCCGATGGGCAATTTTTCCATGATCAGAAACATCAAGAAAACCAGTTGTAGCAGTGGCCTTGGCCGAGGCCGACGAGTCTTGTCGGCGGGCGCTAGGTCGTACAAGAGGCCTTGCACTTCTGTCCGAACCTTTCGCTTCGTCACGGGAGGACAAAACAAGATGTCGCGATTTGATGCAAGACCCCTTTTCGTCTGTCGTAGGTTTCAGTAATATTTATGTGGCAAAGATAGACCGTGACCGAGGCTCAGAAAAGCCCACCCTTCCAGACCATCCACCAGCCCTAATCAACAGACACGATGCCCCCGAAGTCTGCCGCGAGCCCCCGCCCGCCGACCGGCTGGGAAAAGAAGGACCTGGATGGCGTTTTCGGAATCTTCAGACCAAAACCAAAAGGAAAAGGAAAGACATGGAACAAGAATGAGAGGCGTGTCTTCTTGAATGCCGGAAAAGAGGAGCTTTACATTTACTATGCCTATCCTATACAAAGGGTGGCGGAAACCATTTCACTCAGTGATTTTCAATCTTTCTCTACTTCGGAAAGGCCGGATTGGTGTTACATCTGGCTGTACTTCACTCGCGAGGATAAAAACGTCAGGCTCTTCACCAAGGACCCTTCAGCCGTTGAAGCTTGGACACACGTCTTGCCGTACTTTTTCCAAACCTCACACATGCAGGCCTTGCTACAGGTCCAGGGAACGCTCGTCAGGGAGAATCTCTACGAAGACAACATACTGCCCTGTCAGTATCCTCTGACGATCTCCGAATTCGAACGAGAATTGCAGCGGATAGCTTCTTTTCCGGAACACCAAGAACAGGATAAGAGCAGAAGTACCTTCCCTTCGGCCTTCTACCTGCAGCTGGTAGCTGCGCGAAGGCAAGCTGATATACTTGTCAGTCAGGGGCTTAAGTAAACGCAGGCTATTCGACGAGGAGGATTGTACAAGGACTTCCTAGGCGTGCTGGAGCAACGACAAGAACAAGAACAACGAGCTTCCGCCGAGGAACTAGTAACGTGGGCGGAGACTGCTAGGGGAGGAGGCTTCGCCGCAGCGCTAGAATATGAGCGTTCGAAAACAGTAATAGTTCGGGATAACCAAGGACGTCCGAGTAGGAAGGAGCGCTATCTCGAGGTAGCTCAGGGAGACGAAAGGCGAAAAGCGATGCCAGCGGATCAATTTGGAAATGCGCAACGGATCAATCAGTTGGAAAGCGATCTCCAGGAACTCAAGCGACAGCGCGATGCGCTGGAGCAGGAGTCGCACGAGGCACGAGAAGAGGTGGACTTTGAAAACCGTTTAGAATTTGCGGGGTCGGTGAAGGGGCCAGCCGTCGAAGTTTTACGCATAAGCGGCGAACAGGAAGCAAATAAGGAGGAAATTGAAAAGCACGAAACGGAAATAAAGGTACGTCTACTTGATCTTGAAAAGATGAGGAAAAAAACAACACCTGCAGAAAGATCTCTGCAGGAGTTGCCACGATATTTTTCGCGAAAAGACCCCAGTGCGAAGGATCTCGAAGAGGCGTTTGATGACAAGTGGGAAACGATGCGCAGACAGGGACAGATTACGAGCGTGGGAACGCTCCTAAACGCTGGCGACCAAACTTTTTCCGAAGAAGGAAAAGGAGAGAGTTCTGCCTCGACTATACCTGGCACAAACGCGCCGAGCGACTCCTCCCCTTCGTCGCGATCCAGCTTCGGGGCATTCAGTACCCTGCAGGAGCTCGACATTTCTAAAACCGGCGGAACAGAAAAAGACGAGCAACAGCCAATCCAGCCCACAGCCTCCTCGACGTTGAGCAGCGACCCAAAAAACAGCAAAATGTTGCACGAGGAACCCCCGAAACCGGCCAAAATAGGAAGAGACGAACTGGGGCGGGAAAAAAGTTTATCGCGAACCTCTCCTGCTGACGCGGCGGACGCGGATCACAAGGTTTCAGCTATGTCTGTGTGGATTGTAATGCACATAATTGTAATTCATGATCATGAATCATTACCCTGTGCAAAAGTATCGTACTCGTATAAATGCATGACAAATTTCCTCAGCATGAGACATAAAATTTGTCACTCGGATTCACCTTAAGGAAAAAAATTGCAATGCATGATTGCAATTACTACGAGTCCGATTCCGACACTTTTGCAGTTCATAATCATGATTGTCTTGCACATGCACGTCGATCCTTCTTTTACCATACTCCGATGAAATGGAATATTATCATAAAGTAAGACAACGAACACAACTACAGGTACAGGAGCACCAGCACTCCCCGCTTGCGGATGCGGTGGGCGGCGAGATGTTGAATCGGGCACCAGGGGCAGGGCAGTCTTCTTCTCCTGCCTCGTCCGCCATCGAGACCAAAGTGGTTTCCTCGACAACAGCAGCAAAAACCACGGACCTTCCGGATCACAAGGAGGGTCATGACGAGAATCAAGACTCGAAGCCGGAGGATTTGACGAGGAGGAGGTTGATGAGTGGCAATTCCAAGACCGCCCCGCATGCTGAATACGAAAGCCACAAGTTGGAGCCTACCACCAGTGGAGGAACAGCAACAGCTACAAAGGGACAAATAGCAACAACAGCAACCAAGAGCAAGAGCAGCGATAAAATGTTGCGAGCAGGAGTTGCTTCTAGTACGGACACCAGTATTAAGAAGGTTGACGAGCAGCTGCACGACAACCCGACCCAACAGTCTTTTTCACCAGCTGCAGCTGGTCCGAAAAGTTCCTCTACCAGTCCGCCGAACGCGGAGAAGAACCAAGAAACCGCCGGCCTTGGTAAAACTACATCTTATTCGACACGAGCCGCGGCTGCGGGCCATGAAGACGCTGGTACTACGACGGACACGGCTGAGTCAGTACGGGGAGGAGATAAAAATGCTCGTGTAGCTCAAGCTCCAGGTCATCTCGAATCCTCGCGCGACACCACGATCACCAGGGCAGACTTGAGCGATCCGTCTATGAGCATATCAAGTGCAAATATGTCTGGGTCTGGAGAAATTTAAAGTTGTCATGCTTGTTGTCTGGCATGACTCAGAAATCTGTGACGCATGAGCAGGAAGAGGGCCTCTTGCCTGTCATGGAAAAACGCAGTGGTCTGTCATTTGGAAAGCGAAATGTAAAGGAGCCCAGAAAATTGTCATGCGTGGCTGCGCATTGCAGTGCGCCCACCAAACGCGACCCAGCAGCACAAGGTTCCAGACCCAGACACATTTGCAATGCATAGAGCAGTTGGTACCACGAGTTTGAAGCCGATTCGGGAGGAGACGGCTACAACACGAAACACGACTTGCTATCCTGAGTAAATACGTCCCCACGCCATAGTTGTCATGCAAATCCGCATGCTGAAAATATTTCTCATGCGGAGCCCCATGAGAAGCATCTTCTAGTCGTGTTGCGGAATTTGTCATGCTCTAATCAGCATTACAGGCTGGATCTGTGATGCTGCTGAACAAGCTCCACAGGATTACACTACGAGGCCAGACTTGTCATGCGAAACAGCCAAAGGTGGCTGATTTGTGTAGCAGATTTCCCATCTTGACTATGGAGTGGGGACATTTTTGCTCAGGATACGTGCGCACCTACTCGAAGATGTCCAACATCCACGACAAGGAGGACGCACACGGGTTTCCGACTTCCACGTCGGCTCGCACGTACATCAATGAGATTCTGTGGCTGCCCCTTGTCTTATGAGAGTGCACAACTCCCCCTCGCCCTCGTTTGTATGGCATGAACAGCAATACAAACACCAGCACACATGGACCCTGTGCATGACAAATTCACGTGCCTAAAAATGAAGTACTACTTGGGCCTCCAGAATATGTCATGCATAGTAGTGATACAACTACAAGGGGACAACTGGATTTGGGATTTTCCATGAGAAATGAGAACGAGGGGGAGTTGTGCAGCCTCATATGTTTCGCTTTGGTCCTCTTTTTTATCCTCGTTAAGCGACGGGACAGGGACCACGAGTGCCAGCACCATGTCTACCACCTCTATCAAATGTAAAAGTGTCTGGGTCTGGAAGAATAGAGCTTGTCATGCTGTCTTTGGATTCCAAAAAAATCTGTATTGCGTGACCAGCAACAGGAGTCCAGTTTGTGTTACGCGGGGAGGGAATTTCTCATCTAGCATCACAGAAGAATCTGTGATGCTAGATCATGCATTACATGCATCATGGATCGTACAAAATATGCATCACAAATCCCGAAATTTTCCAGACCCAGCCATTTTTGCAATCCATAACCTCCCCCGGCGCACACTCGGGCAGCTCTTCGGGAGTTCCGAAGGAGTCGCAGCACTGCGGCTTGGAAATGACGGTAATGGCAGCTGCGTTCGCGACTTTATCAAATGCAAATATGTCTGGGTGGGCTGGAAAAATGCCAGGTTTGTCATGCACATTTTCTATGTGCTCGCGTGGTGTCCTTGATGCATGCCCTGGCTGCATCACAGATGCTGCGAGGGCATTCTGATGGATGCTTATACCGCATCAGAAATGCCCTCTCCGCGTAGCAAAAATTGGACCGCTTTTGCTCTTCACGCAATACAAGATTTTATGTACAGTCTAAAGCTAGCATCACTTCCGGACCGAGACATATTTGCATTTGATAAACTTTCTCTTTCGCGTTTCTCTACTGGACCAGTAGAGAAACGCGAAAGAGAAAGGAGGACCGCGAACGAGACATCCTGTCGCGACACGGGTTGCTGGGCGGACACGCGCGGGAAAAGCCCTTCTGGGCATCCGGTCGGTTTGTTTGTGGAGCAGGTGTGTTTGTCCTGTGGTTTCTGTGGTTCGTGTGCACAACGATTGGCGAGGAATGGCACAAGCCGAGAAGTATCTGGCGCAAAAACGTCAACGCCTCCCCTGCACACTTTTCATTCAAGTTTCTTTGGATTTGCATTTGCAGAATTAAAAAATTGGGGCGTCAGTAGTTTGTCATTCGTCTTACGGTGCGAGGCAGTATCGAATGATGGCGCAGCTGAACTTGTCATGCCTGCTTTATCACAGACTTGATCTGCTGATAATGGGGCGACGACGTCTTTGCGCAGGATAGGAGCCTGCGAGGCGCTGCTGCACTGGGGACTGATCGTGCTCGTTATTGTATCAAAGAAAAAAACTGTAACTGTACGGTGTAGGTCGGTAAATGCAGAAATACATGGAAGGCGACGTTTACATAATTTTCCATCTCAGTAGAAAAGCAGAATACACGACTACTCCTTTCTTTCACGATAGACTTTCTCATGCACCACAACTACGTGTCCAAATGCCCGGGCATGAAGACAAAAAGCAAACTTGTCATGCTGTCGCTTCAAGTTCAAGTTAGTAGAAGGCAGCTACACCGGCACCGGTTTTTTCTTGGATACTATCCAAGAAAAAAACATTGTAGGTGTAACTTTTTTGGAAGAACAGCATTACAAATCTGTCTGGCATGACAGCAAAAACCTGTCATGCGCAGATAGTACGCGAAAACGCCCTTTAATGAACCCTACGACGCATGCCAAGCATGACAGACGCAATCATGTTGCATGTTAAGCATCACAAATTTACACTAACAACGTTTTTTTCTTGGATAGATACTTTTTCGACTTGCTGCTGGTCGGTACGGTAGTGGTGGGCAGTATGGAAGCGTCAGAATCGAAATCGACAAAGTCGAAAAATTTGTGATGCAGAAAATCGATGCCAGTTAGACCAATAGTGTGTTGTCGGCGCATGAGAAATTTTCCCCGTCCTGGAAGCGAATCTGTCACGCGGTTTAGGGCGAAGGAGCCCCCTTCTGCCATGGTAGTCAGCAGCCGAACTTTTGACGCTAACCAGGACTCGAATCCGCCTTCCTTGCATCCTCTGCAGTAGAGTCTCTTTTTGCGTCGCATTTTTATATGCATATAGAGATTAATATTTCATCGACTTTGTCGATTTCGAGTCTGACACTCCCATAGGCAGGGGCTGTGGTGCCCGTCGGGATGAAGATTCGCGGAGAAAGAGAACAACGTCCCCGTCCGGAAAGAAGGGAAGAGAGGAAGGAAAACGGGAGCCCGGCACAACCTCGTCCTCCACGCGGAAGAAACGTGACCAGTTGGCATCTACACCCAGCACCGCAGCGGGAGCAGGCGGCCTGATGGTCCCGGTTCCAAATTATGCATTGCAAACGCATCGCATATAGTACTTTTTGTTTTTTCCGTATTTCTTGATGGCTAAAGAGTCGCTTCGCTAATTTTTTTGAAATTAAAGAGGCGAGTTTGTCATGCTGATCCGAAGGCACAAATGCAAAAACGAGTGTTGTATACATTGCTAATAGAACAACCAATGCGAAGATGCATTTTCAGAGAATACTACTTACGGTGCGGTTGATGAGCTTGACGAGGAATTGTACGAGACCACCGGCTATCAACTGCAAATGTGTCTGGGTCTGGAAGATTGCCAGGTTTGTCATGCTAGTCTGGCATGACTCGAAACTCTATATTGCGCGGCCGCGAAGCGGTTCTGCATCTGCTGCCTGTCAGGCAAAAACGCAGTTTCTCATGCGGAGTACGCAACGGAGAACCACGGAAAAACTTGTCCTGCTTGCCAGCGCATTTTTAGAGTGTGCTCACTATACCTTCTCTTGCATCTTCACAAGTTTCCAGACCCAGACATATTTGCCTTCCATACCGGCACCAGCGACGACGGAGGATTGCAAGAGGAACTTGCGCGTCAGGTCTTTGCCGATGTTCCGAGCAGCAGTCTTAGTACAACCGGTTCTATCTGTATGCAAGAAAACAACGGTGTGCGTGTAACTCTGTGATGCAGAAAATGCAAAACTTTTACACTTGTCATGCTGGATCTGCGTCATAGGCTAGTACTTCCATACGTGTTTGCACATACTAGCTGCGCGTGACAGGTTTTCCCTGCACAATGCAAAACGAATTTGTGATGCTCGTCTTCCTGCAAAGTTACACTTACACAGTTTTTTTCCTGGATATTCTGGCGTGACGCGTGGCGTGATGTGAAAGCAGTACTCAACGGCACCTTCGAGGAAAAGCTGCAAGAGATATCCTGATGTGTGAACGCTCTAACTACCCCATTCCTGCTGTTGCCTCTGCTGGGAATTATTGTGTCTGGTGTGGGAGCACTTTATTGCGCTGCTCCAAACAACTACAGGACCACGCAGTGGTTTTGTCATGCAGCCGATTTTTCGGTACCTTACGGAACAACCTGAGCACAAGAAGGAGCGTTTTGATGTGCCAAAACAAAAACTTGTAAATGCGGAACTTTCCCGCTTGCCATGGGGTATCAAGATAGAGCGTTTCTACACGCGATAACTTCAGCTCGAGGACTGCGAGGAGAAGGCCCTGTATCCGGAAGGCAGCTTGGCGCCGAAGAGTCGCGCAGCCGATGCGGGCAAGGAAAAGCAAAAGGTGGTTAATATTGAAGAGCTTCAGAATTATAGAGGGAATTCAGTGCGAGCGTGCCTCTGCTTGGCCATGTTCTTGCATCGTCGTGCATAGAAGACAAGTAGTGACTATCACTTCTGTGATGTAGTCGAATTCGTACGTGGAAATAAAGTCTGAATCTTTTAACAGGCCTCCGCAACCATCTTCAACGAGAATCTGGTCTCTGCGCAGAAGGAAATCGCTGTGGGACAGAAGGTGAGTTGTTGCGAACATTGTCACTGTGTCATGCATTCTGCAGAAAAGCAAAAGAGAACCAAGATGGCAATGAGTGCTATAGAATGAGTGTCCAAACTTAGATATTGGGACAAGAAGTATAGACGGAAGAAAAAAAAATCACACAACAGCTGCCCGAAACCGTGTCCGTCACTGAGGCCCTATCTTCGAAGAGCTGCCGCGCTGATGACGGAAAAAAGGTGTGACTGTTTTTCACAATTCGTTTGTCTTGGTGCCTCCAGAAGGCAGTGTCATGCTTCGAAGATTCTGCATTTCGCTCTGTTATCAAACCGACAAAGAAAATCAACAAATCAGGCGGAGGACAATTTGAAGAAGGACGAGTGTGTGATGGAAAAAGCTGCGGAACCAACGCAGCCCGCTTTGCCCGCGTTGGTCGAAAACAAACCCAGAGCCACCTCCGAGAAGGCACCGTCTTCGAGTCCGGGAAAAAACAAGCAGAACGTACTCAGCATTTGGACTTTACAAGGAGAAGGATTGTGAAGTGCGCCTTAGTGTTGTAGTTAGTTTTTCGATGTGTATAATGTAACGCACAAGTAAGTACTTACATTCATATTCAAGATGAAGATCAAGAGTGAGGCGTCAAAGAGACAAACGGAAGACCCAATAACACTCTGTAGGTGCAGCTTCAGACCTCCAAGCTGGCGAGGACTTGCAAAGCCGGGAGCAGTGCGATGTCTGCAAAAAGCCGCGTGCAGCAGGGATTGGAACAAACGATCGATGCGTTGGAGGTAAAGTGACGAAATTGATTGTGAAGTTTATGGAAACAAGAACAAATGCAGCATCAGAAGTAGTTTACGTTTTCAATCAAAGTTTTTTCTTGTTTGATTGCTGTTTACACACAGCATGCGCATGCACTTTTATTGGAAAACACATCCTTTTTTACACAAAAATGGTCACGACCTTGAGGTACTGCGAGATGAGCCGGAGATGAAAATGGACTTGGAGCTAGCAAATGCAAAAGTGGCTGGGTCTGTCACAGTGGAACTTGCGACGCGTGTCTTGCATTCCTGGAAAATCTGTGTTGCATGAGCAGCAAAAGAGGAGCTTCCTTTGTTGTGCAAAAACGCAATTTGTGATGCGCGCTACTGCTAGGCATCAGCAGGCGACTCAAAAACTTGTCATGCTTGGCTGCCATTGATGCAAGCGATTCAATCATGCTCAATTCAGCATTACAGGGTTGCAGACCCAGACATATTTGCAGTGCATAGGAGGTGGCCCACGACAATTCGACCACAACTGGGTCGACCAAAATCCTCCAGGAGAACCAAAAAAAATCCGGCGGCACGAAAAAATCCGAGGCGAGAGGCACTGTCGGCAAGCGGAAGTTGCGCGGACAGGCGTCCACGGAGCGCGGGGAGTCGGGTGGGTCGATGGATTCGGTGGAGGAAAAGTCAAACGAGGATGGCGTGTCTGGGATGCTGGAGTAGTCCATGCGACCTGCGAATCTTCAGGATTGAGAAAACTCAAAAATCAGATATGAAAAATAACACTCAACGTCAAGGCACGTTGAATTTAAGAGGAGACGTGTTTGTATAGCACTGAAATCAATAGAAATAGAAACAAGATCCCTTCAGTATTCTCATGAGGAGAGCTTAGCGAATGTAACGCAATGAGAACACATTCTACGATTCCTTCTCGTCAGCTACAGCGGACTCTGCGCAGGCAAAATGATGAGCCCGATTTTGAGATGAAGATAACGAGTTGCGCTGCGAGTCGTACAGCGAAAATTGACGACTATATCAACGATAAAATAAAATTGAAAAAAGAAAAACACTCGACGTATTCGCGGTCATTGAGTGCATCATACTTATTTGTATTTCCATGATCGCAGAACTCGATGTCGATGAAAACGGAGGGCAAAAAGCCAAGAAGAAGTACTGCCTTAAAGCCAAATTGAAATTATCGGCAATATTGCGCGCACTTCTGCCCCCTTCACTGTTGTACTTTTACGCGGTAATTGTAAAAGCCGCTGCAGCCAGTAGCGAGCATCAAAAGCGACAAAAAAGCTTGGGTGGAAGAGAAGCTGGACAACTTACAGAAGGCGGACAACGCCGGGAACTCGCGAGAGGTTTACGAAGTTGTCCGGCAGCTGGCGGGCAAAGCGCGGAAACCGGCGCAGGAGCTACCGGGCCCTCCGGAAATGTGGACGCAGTTCTGGGGAAAAATTTTTGGCGAGCCGCGCCCCGAACCAAGTCAGGCCACCAAAAGCACGAACAGCTTCCGCAAATGCGCGGAAAGGCTGGAGCAAGAACCGCGGCAACAGTGGTGCCAGGGGCTTGACGCCGTCCCAAGTGAAGCGGAGATTTGTGATGCGTTGCGGGGTCTTAAGGCCGGCAAGTCCTTCGCTGGGGTAGCACCTGTAGAACTGATCCGCAACTGCGAGCTCGCGCGCGCAGTTGTAGTAGCACTTGTGCGGCGGGTGTTTCGGGGAGAGGATGTCCCCGAGGCATGGGGCCGCGCGGTGCTGGCGATGCTCCACAAGAAAGGCGACAAAGCCCAAGCAAAAAACTACCGACCGATAGCCTTGCTCACCTTTGCTGAAAAACTCATTGGCCTCATAATCTTGCGCCGGATTGAAACAGAAGCGATGAGCGCCATCGACAAAAGGCAGAAGGGGTGCACCAGGGGGCTAAGCTGCAGACACGGAGTTTTCCAAATTCTTCGGGATATGGAGCGCTGCAAGCGGGAAGGCCGCCGGGCGTACTACGTTTTTGCTGATTTCCTGAAGGCCTTCGACAGTTTGGCCTGGGATATCATGCACAAAGTACTGAAGCACCAGGGAATGCCTGACAACCTTGGGGAAGTAATTCGGGGCATGTACGACAAGGGGGCGCGAGTCAGTATCAGGCTAGCCGCCGACAGATATACGGAAGCCATCAAGCAAATGGCCGGCATACGGCAGGGCAGCTCGCTGTCGCCGTTGCTGTTTGCCATCGTGCTTGATTTCGCCATCACTAGTTTCGCGGAAGTGATGAAAGAGGAAAAAAAGTGGACCACAGCACAGGCTCGGGGATTCGCAATGAGCCTGCTCGGGTTCGTGGATGATCTGGCGATCAAAACCGGATCTGAGTCCGAAGCGCAATTTGCAGTCACCGAGCTGGCAGGGGCCTGCAGGTTTGTGGGCTTGGAGCTGAATGCGGACAAGGGAAAAACGGAGATTATGGTTGTCAACCCAGAGCGCAAAGACAGGCGGGACGAGTTTGCCATGGCCGAGAGGTGCATGGTGAGCAAAGAAGAAGGCGCAGCTCCGACCTGGGGGCTGATGGTGGAGTGGGCGGGAATCGACCATAAACCAGAGTACAGGGCCGCAGCGCGTGCGGTCTGTACACAGCGCATGGGCGACCTGGTGCCAACTCACCTCGTCATCTGGGACAATGGGCACCATAACGTGATAAAGCTGAAAGCTTCAGGCTGGGCCACGTTGGACAACGGCCGGGCGATGCGAATTAACAGGATGGGGCGGCGCGAATACATCTTGGACAAGCACAACGTGCACCGGTGCCACCGGTGTGGCGATGTCCTCGAAGATGAAAATGCGCTCAAGTACCACCTGGCGACCGGGTTCTGCAGGGAAGAGAAAACGGTCCACGACCTTCGCACGCTGAGAGTAGCGCGACAGGTAGAGGGAAAAAAGAAGGAGAGCAGGGAGAAAGCGGAAACAGAGCCGGCCAACGTGTGGCACGACGGGAAACAGATCGCAACGGTCGACCGCTTTACTTATCTCGGTACAGAGATGGACAGCGAAGGGTCGACCAAGTCGGAAACGCGCCGGCGCTGCGCCATGGCGATGAGCGCCGTGCGCTCTCTGAGCAAGATCTGGCGCGATAAAGAGGTGCCGCGGCACTTGAAAGCCTGCCAATCTTTATCGTTCCCTGAGCCGTAGCGTAGCACTGTATAACGCAGAGACGTGGGCAATTACGGAGAGCGACGAAAAAGCGCTGAGGGCCTTCCAGCTGAATGCCTTGCGGTTCATTTTTGGGATCTGGGAGTGGGAAGGATCTCCATCACGAGCGGAACTTTGCCAAGCCCTCGGGGTGCAGCTGATCGAGACAGAGATCCGGGAGAAGCGGAATTCTTGGATCGGCCACGCAGCGCGGGATCCCCTAGGCGAGGGGTCGTTTGGGAGAATTCGACACGAAATCGAACAAAAGACGCCTTGGGGCAGGTTGGCGGCTGCAGACCTGGAGCACTACAGTGTGGAACTTAAAGACCTGGAACTGCAAAAGCCCGCCGGACCAGTGGTGCGCGAAATGCTGACGCGAAGAAGGCCCTACGCAACCGCAAAAAAGCCACCGGGGAAAAAGGGACCAAAGCCAGGAGCCAAATCCGAGCGCGCGGAAGAAATGCAGGCTGAACGCCGGAAAAGGCTACAGCAGCAGAGGGAAGAGGAAGAAAGGGCGCGGGCAGCACTCGCCGAAAGCCTACACGGCAAAAAGTGGAAGCAAAACAGTGACAGGCAGGGTTTTTGGGAAATCGATGGCGACCCGAGCATCGCCTTCCAAGTGGGCGAGATCTTCTTCTGCGAAAACACAGGCAAGGAAGAGGTGCAGGTGGCGGGCGTGTGGTTTCAAAAAGAATCTGATGGAACGTACACAGTCAGATAGCATGGCCACAGACCCCACCGAAGGAAGAACTTGATAACAATACACGCACGGCTACGATACTTTCGACAAATCTCTGAGCGAGGATTACTAGCCAGAGACTAGCCCACAAACAAAAAGCAAGAGGCTTAAAATAGTCCATCCCTCACGCTGCCGTTGCGCCGGTGGTCGTGGCGTTCGGGCGGAGGTTCGCGGGTGTGCCGGTCGTGCACTAGAAAGGTGTGTATATTAGCTCCGTGGCCCTCCTTATATAGTGCCTGTTCGTGTAGTTAGCATTCCGCGTAGCGCCCTCCCATAGGGTAGGTTTTGTATGATCTTAGAGACACCTGTGCGGATCAGGTGCATTAAAGTTGCTCGGCAAGTAGCGCGTCAAGGGGAGGTAGTTTCAGGTACTTTACTAGCATCACGTCCGGAACGCCTGCCGATTCGCGCTGTGCAGTCTGTGGCGGTGCAACCGCTCCAGCGTGCCTCCGGGTGATTGGGGGTTGTCATGCGTCATCGGCGGCAGCGTGCTCGCGCTAAGTGAAGGAGTGATGAAACAGGATGAGAAAAAGGTGCGTAGTTCAGTGACCCTCTGTTTTTGTTACCAAAAACCAAGGCGAAAACTAAAAACGAAGAAGTTCTGACAACACAAGAGAGAAAAAGTTCATTATGAACTTGGGCAAAAAGAAGTTATCTTAAGCAGCAGGAGTTTATATGCGCTGCACCCATGCCCGCCGAGCTAGTTAAGCGCCCCAGTGGGTTAGAGGAGAAGTCTAGCAGGTCCCTAGTGCTGTAAGAAGCTGATAACTTAGTTTTATATGTTGGGCAGTTGCTGCTGTCCGGAGGCGTCCACACTGCCTGATAGTAGTCGTCCGCCCGTGGTGCAAAGCATTGCGTTGTTCCCTGCCCCGGCCGTTCGAGCTTGATGGTAAGAGGCCACCGCCGCCGCCCCACTCCACTCCACTCCACTCCACTCCCACGCGTTGACTTGACTTGACTTGACTGCAGCCAGTAGCTTCATGAAATTATATATGAAGATGAAGGTAGGTCAGGGGACAAATAGGAATAACCACCGCACAGGTTCAAGCGAGAAAATCAGAAACACGCGGTGCGAGAAAATCAGAAGTGCTGCTGTGGTCGCGTCATATTTTCAACGGGTTCAAGAGTAGATTGATTTCGTTTCGTACTTATGATTTTTGATATTCCTCGTTTTATTACGTTCCGATTTACTTTTACTTTTACAGTTTAACAGAATTTTACTTTAGTTTCTCCGACCCTGTATACAAACTTTTTTTAGCGGTGAAAGAATATCGCAGACGCCACAACCTCTAATCTTGAGGCTGTCGCTGTTCACGAAAAAAATGGAAATGCACAACTTTCAAAGAGCGAGCAGATGATCTACGATGCGTTTATTTAAGTTTTTTGGTAGAAAGCATTTCATTGCCCAAAACAATGAGCAAAGAATTTCTACATTGCTGCTTCTAGCTTTTTGTAGAAGCATCTGCAAGAAGTATAGAAAGAGAAAAAATAATCAATTACGAAGAAATCATAGAGGCTCGTTGTCGTTTCAATTTCATAATTTTATTATTCCCAAGTAATATTTCTTCACATTCGGATTCAAGTTCAACGCACCGAGTTTACTTCACGAACCGGCGTTGCGAGTCGTTTTGCTGATGTTTTTTCACTATGAAATAATCACATCAGCGGAGATAATTTCCATTTCTCTTCGTCCATACGGCATCAACACCTGCAAATCACGACATTTCCAGAATGATATGCGATCTGCACTGGGGAATCGCAATCGTCATGATCTGATGCAATTAGATAGACAGTGGCGTAGCGTAGTCCTCGGTATACGACAATTGGGGATTAATTTTATTTTAGCCAGGAACGGTTGATGATGTCATGGTTCGGCGCGCGGAGTACTAAGGCACCATATCGATGACAATTTCTGATGAAATAAGTAAATGCACCTCCCTGTACAGCTGAGGCCGAGAGCCGTGAACAGAAAAATAAAGAACGCTAACGTGAAGGCCGAGGGGGCCAAGCTTCTACCGGCATAATTTCCTGTGGTGGGGTGAGAAATTGTTGGCAGCACGTGTATACGTGCTTAGCATCGTCCGGCGCACTTCTGAACAGGATTCGATTAGACAGTCTTGCACTTCTTTTTTCCTAGATCAGAAATAAATCTGAAATCGGTTCTTCCTTTGGTTGCTTGTATGACATGTTGCACCAGCAAAAAAAATAAAAAATACGATCCCCCTGGACGCTCATCGAGATCTTTAGTTCGGTTCCTTTTCCGCTATTTGTGTATTTATTAACCAAAACCACAGCCTCAGCTGCGAAGCCGTTTTTTTCTTTCATTCGCGGAATTGTCCTTATTTCATCCTAGCGCGGCATGATCTCGTTACTCGTATCTCGCACAGGCTGCACTTCTGGGCAGCAACCTTCGGTCTCCCGCCTGTCTCGAGTCTTTTGCATATAGTGCGACAACTAAGTCTAGCCACCGTTTATTTGTTTTTGTGAGGACCCCCACGGTAGAAGACGTTTTTTTTGCATTACCACATCTGAAATACCGCAACCGCTTTAAGCAGGGCATCTTTGAATTCCGATGCGACGTCGGACTAGCTGGCTCTTCGTCCTCACACCTCAACGCCTCACGTGCTCCACGACTAGACGTGTAACATTCGCGTCGGCCGCAAAAGAAAGCAAGTGCCTGGTTTGATTCATCCGGGTAAGCCGCGCGTCTGTAAATAAAATCCTGCTCCTGAGCCTGAAACTGAGTCCGAGGACAGTAGGTGCAGCGGAGCTCCTGCGCCATCATCCAAAATGGGCTCTGCCTTCGGGGTGATTTCGGAGGAAACGCCAGCGTATGAGGTCCTCCAGCGGTTTATCGAAAAGAAAAATCCTTCTTCCCCATATCAAAAGGAGATTTCAGATGCTGCCTTTGCGTACACACATGAGGTCTGTCTTGCTGTGAGGAATCGCGCCCACATTCTTAGGAGCGCAAGGTTCATCTATCTGTTTAGCATTGGAAACGCCGGCCCGTTGACGAACCAGCATGACAAATCGCATCCATAATGCGGCGCATCCCTCAGCGCTTGTCTTCTTGCAAGACAAAAATGATTTGTGGCCACAAATCTGCATCACAACGGATGCCTTTTCAATACGGGGAGGGAGGATTTTTCCTCACAATACGGCTCGAGAACTACGAAATCCGGAGGTACGAGCCCCGCGTCGCGGTCCAGGTCGCGATGAACCACGCCAACGATAGCACGGCGTTCAAAACTATCAACTGTAAAAATGTCTGGGTCTGGAAGAATCCAACTTGTCATGCTGATTTTGGATTCTAAACAAATCTGTATTGCATGAGCAGCAAAGAGAGTCCAAGTTTTGCTACACGGAAAGAGCATTTGTCATGCGGCATAGGCATCAGGAAGCCCTCACAAAATCTGTGATGCTAGGGCATGCATCACAGACATCAGGAGTCATGCAAAATGTGCATGACAAGCCTGGAAATCTCCCAGACCCAGACATTTTTACAGTTGATAAAAACCCTTGCGGGCTACATCGGCGTCATGTCCAGCCCACGGAACGAAAGGAGCGAAGCTATCAAAATGAAAAATCCCCCCTCCCCATATCAAAACGGAAATTTGTGATGCTGATTTGTGGCCACAAATCAGCTTTGTATTGCAGAGAGGCACTGCGGCCAGATCCCCAGGCTAGGTAGGGGCGTATGGGTCTAGTAGTTCAGCATGGCAAACGGCCCCCCTTTGGGCCCAACAGCGTGACAAATCGCTGCGATAATGGGGCGGAAGCTTCTGCCCTTGTCTTCTTGCAAGACAGACGTGACTTGTGGTCTCAAATCAGCAAGACAAATTTTCGGAAACATACCTTTTCGATATGGGGAGGGGGGGATTTTTCCTCTGAATAGAAGCAATCGCCATGACCGCGCCCGTGGTATCTTCGACGTCCTCTTCTTCCTTAATCGGCATGAAACCAAGTACGGGCGTGGCAGACGCGGCTAGTAGTTCGGCGGCTCCAAGAACTACGCAGAACAAGCAGCAGCAATCTACTTTGTCAGAAAAAAAAGTAGATGTTGGACCTCAAGATGACCAGCACTTGATGCAGTTCGTCCTGCCCAAAATCTACGACATGACCATTATCGACTGCAAATTTATGGGGTTCTCAAATGTTACATTCGCAACTGTTACATGATTTGTCATGCAAAAGTACCATTATCATCTACACCATCAAGCTGTTCTGCATAACAAATTCTGGAAGGGCGAAACAGGCTCATAGTCAGTTCCAAATCTGTCATGCAAGACGCGCAAGGCCCCCCCCTTTCATTCTTCCCATTCTTGCATCACAAATCATGTAATCATGTAACAGTTGAGAATGTAACAGTTGAGAACGCCATAAAATCTCTCTGCTGGGTCTGAAAAGTGACTGGTAACAAGCACAGTGTAATGCACCGCCAAGCATGACAAATACAGATTTTCACTTTTTCGTGGCTCTGTGTTGCGTAATATTCCACATGAGGTCTAGTTTGTGTATGACAGACCAGGGAATTGTGACCTCTTGCTGGTCACGCAATACAGAGCTCAGTGTCATGCCAGACTGGCATGACAAACGCAAACCTCGCATTCTGCATAGATAGAAGGCAGATGACATGTTTGCAATGTATAACCAACCACCCCCCGCCCAAGCCCACGCCGACCTGGTCGTCGCCGAATCTGAGCACCGCTATTGTCGAGCGGCCCGAGATATCCTGTGCAAAAGTATCTTACTAGCATAAATCGCAATAGAAATTAGCTCAGTATCACAAACTTAAATTTGTAATGCTGATTTACCTTAACAACTAGATTTGTAATGCATAACTGCAATTAGTACGAATACGATACTTCTGCACAGGATACGAGAGAACGTTCGCGGTGCACACGTTTTCCGGTCGGTGGACCAGTTTCGAGGAGCAGAAACGGGAACTGCTGAGGTGGCTCAAAGAGGAGAAGGAGGATGACAGTGGGAACATGCTGAAAATCAAGGTGAAACAGCCTTTGCACTTCGAGGTTTACCGGTACAACCCCCCCTATGCATTACAAATATGTCTGGCGGGTCTGGAAAGTTGTGATGCTAATGTCCGAATGAAGATACGCAAGCGCAACCCGTATTTGAGGGCCGCGCATGCCAAGTTTCTGAGCGGCTTTGTCTAGCGTGAACCGCATGAGGAATGGCCTTTTTATTGCATGAGAAACAAGTGGCACTGTAGCGCACCAAGCAGGACAAATCTTTCTGTCTTGTCGCCCAAGCATGACTTCCAGACCCAGACATATTTGCAATGCATACCACCTGGACGCTGCCGATGTTCCGAACGAATGAAGTCGCGATCGAAGTGGAACTGACTTGAAGTAGACGTGCTGATTTGCTGCTTTTTGCTTGCGAGAAGTGAGATTTGGATTTCTATCTCGACGAACATCTGGAGTAATTATAGACGCAGCTTCAGTCTTTGTGCATAGACGCGGTGATGCTCATCCTCGTCGACCACGAGCGTTCTTGTAGAGGCACTCGGACCGAAAACGAATAATGCAACAATGCAAAGTCATACTCATTTGATTTTGAACCTCCTGCACGAGCACGAATACTGCTGCAACGACCGTCAAGGCCCGTAATTCGGAAGGCGATTTTGTTCTCTTCTCTGCACTTCTCATGTTGAATCTGTTCCATCATCTCTTTCGTCGCCTGCTGTTGCGACGAGTATAAGTAGTTACTTAATACCTCCGATCATTCGCGATCAATCCCGCCCGCGTTTATTGAAAAACTTCCAGCGGCTGCGCCTGGCATAGTCCTGATATTTTTCTCCGCAGCATTTTGGTTTGGTCTTATTTTGCTCGCTGGTCCTTTCGGTCTTGATCATTTGGAACTTTTTACGCTGGAACAGGAAACGGATCAAAGCTTCTTACAGGAGACCACGGCATATATGCAAGTCAATGTCGGACTCGGAAATAATTCATTGAGTCCGGACACGACTATTATAAAGAGTACATACTGTCAAGCACTGCAGCCAATAGATTTTTGTGTAGCGCGCAATTGAAGTGCTGTGTTTTTTTGTGTAGGAGTTGTTCTTTGTGCACTTTTTGATTGAAGACGAAGTTTCGTCCTCACAGCCATCCGGCGGACCGACACCTGAGTTACTACTTGCATACAACTTCTTTTGTGGTCAACATACTACCTAGATAAACGAAGCGAGGAGTCGTGTGATGTAAAACTAAAAGACGACAAAATGCTTCTAGAGTCGCCAGGTGCAGCACCCCCATCGACGTTTGAAGCCGCCGCCGCAGCATCTCTGAAAAAAATTTTAATACCGAGCCGGAGGACTTCTGTTGCAAAAACTTCACGACCGAGTCGGCGTTTCTTTGATGTTTTGGCGCTGTTGAGTGTGTTGCAGTTGGTCTACCTTTATTTATCCGATACAACTACAAGAACCACTCTGCTCGCCTCCGATCAAGCGTCTTCTTGTTCTATCACGACACCGGGGGTGGCCGCGACGAGGCTCTCGGGGAAAAAGAAAGGCGGGAAGAACCAGCGATCCTCGGTTGCGGCTTCCTGGATCACGAGGGCCAGTTCATCCGGTTCCGCCAAAAGACCCGGCGGAACCTCGGAGGATGCCGCAGCGGGCTCGGACTCCCCGGAGCAGAATGCAGGGGACGAGGAGGCTGGTTGTACTATCAAAAGCGCAGAAGGTAGTTCTTGCACGACTAGAAATGGTTCAACATCCGGATCATCTTCCGCGGCTACCGGTCCGGTGACGGCTTTGCTGAACCGCATGACCGCCTCATGGACGCTGAAGGGCACTACAGTATTACAATGAAAAATGCCCCCACGACCCCGGAATTTGCAGAAGTTTGTTATGCAAAGTTTCAAAATGAAAGCTTTTTGTCTTGCATGAAAGGATTGCGAGCTTTTCTGATGCAGAATCTAGTTGCGCAAGGTGCCTTGTGCATAACAGATCCGGCTGCTGTTTGGCCCCTTCGCAACACAAATTCGAGCTATTCAGCATGGCAAGTTTGTGATGCTGAGATATGCAAGACGGGAAATGTTTCTATTGGAAAGGTTTCTAAATACAATACAAATGCTGCCAAGTGTGGGGTAGGGCGGGCATTTTTCACGGTAATAGACGAGCACCAGCCGGAGTAGCAGTTCGGGAAACCTGCAGCTGCGAACGACCGACGAGGACGATGGCGCCGCAGCGGAAAACGAGAGTCCGCAGGACAAGGACGAGCAAACGAACCCGGAACTGCAGGAGCAGAAAACCTGGTCGGAGGAGGAGCACCAAGGGCTGGGGTACACCGGCGATCCTTACGGGGACTACTTCGCGGAGCAGCGGCGAACTACGGGCTTTGATGCTGCACGACGAGACTCCCCCCGCGGCGATGACGACGACGATGAAGCCGTGTCAGAGGTCGCAACGGGAGAGCAAGTGGAGGAGCTGATCAGGGACGACTTTCTGCTACCCTAAATGGAAAATCGCGGCTATCTGATCTCATTATTATTCTTCTCAGGAGCTGCGCGGCGGCCTGAAGTAGTTGTAGTTCGCCACCAATTACTAGTACTTGGAGTGCACAAGAAGCACAGAAGATTTTGCGTAGACAATTTTTCATGGTGTTTCCATTTTTGCAAATCAAATTCTTATTGCAAAAAAACAACAATGAAGATGATCTGGATGATTTTGATTTTCCACTAGGATAACGCAAAGAAGAACGAGAAGGAGAACCCGACGACGAAACTGATTCTGCAGGAGCAGCCGTTTCGGGCGATTTGCACTTCGGGGGCAGCGGGGCGATGGTTTCAACGTCATCCTCGAAAGCAGCAGAACCGCCGAAACAGGAGTCGATGACAACTACAAAGCAGTTTTGCAGTAAGAAGGGCTTTACAACCGGTAATATGACTGCACCCGCAGCGGCAGCTGGCGAGAAAAAGAAGGGAGTAGCAGGAAACAAGACTTCTGCAACTGCAGCTGTGCAGGAGGAAAACGAAAAGCAGGAGCTATCAAATGCAAAAATGTCTGGGTCTGGAAGAATGCGCGATTTGTCATGCAGCTTTTCCATGACCCATGAGGTTTGGAATGCAGGACCTAGCAAGACGGATTCTGTGCGATCTCTCTCATGCCTATCGTGCATGAGAAACTCCCTTCCGACTTGGTCAAAACTGGAAGACTTTTGGTAATCACGCAACACAGATTTTTGCATGCTTCAGATTTACTTAGCATGACAACTTGGAATCTTCCAGACCCAGACACTTTTGCAGTTGATAGGAGCAGCAGTTACACGACACAGGAGTAGTACTTCTGCAACACGCTGACGCAGACCACGCGGGCTCTGATACTAGCACGCAGATGAAAGTAGATCAACTTCTTCCCGGTGAGGAAGGTGTGGCACGAGGAGAATCGGCAATAGGCCAGCCTTCGGACGGTTCATCCCCACAACAACCCCGTCATAAAGAACTACTCGTAGCATCGGAAGGCGGCAGGAAAGCAACTGGAAGTAGATCTCATGACCGACAAAACAGCACAGCAAGAGCGAGCACCAGTCTTCTACTTCCCACTTCCCACCAGCGTCTCGTGCCGGTTCCGGCGGACCACATGCACCCGCTGAGCCCAGCGATGTCGGCGATCGGCGGCCGTTATGCTGTGCAAAAGTATCGTACTCGTAGTAATCGCAGTCATGCATTACAAATCTCCTTGTTAACCTAAATCCGCAATACAAATTCCACTTTTCGGATTTGTCAGGCGATTTCTACTTACTAGTACGATGCTTTTGCACAGGATAGCCGCGCAGTGCTTCTCGGCGGGACGACGAGTACGCGAGGAACAACAACAGCGGCGGCGGGGGGAACTACTCCTGGTGGACAAATGGGTCGTTGTTCAACTACACCAGCGTTGGCAGCGTCTCCGTCTTCTTCTCCAGCGGCAGGACGGACCGCCACAGCGGGGGGCGCATCTCCTACAAGTGCAGCAGCAGCCGGTGGAACAAAGAGGTGGAGTCAACATCAGCAGCTTCAGAAGCCCATAATACAGGTGGTGGAAACGGGGAAGCCGGACTTGTACTTTACCAGCGTCGCGGCATTGCAGGAGGAACTGAACAAGCAGAACGACCAAAGCTCATTTCACGCTCCACGACCTTTAGGTGCTGTTCACCAGACCAAGACCGGTATTGACAAGTTCGATGCTCGTTTAGAAGTAGCACAAGAACTACTGCGACCAGGAGACGGCGGCTGGGAAAAGTATGCAGGGAAAAAAGTTTGTAACTGTGTTAGTGGAGCAGGTGTTTTGGAGAAGTGCTGACAGCATGACAAATTTGCTGTATATTTGACAGAGAAATAAGCCTGTCACACACAGCTAGTACGCCGTGACGGCACACATGAAATAAAGAGGACTGCATGGCTGGCCAGCATGACAAGCAGTGGAACTGTGTTGCGTACTTTGCATGACAAACTTTACACAGTTTTTTTCTTCTTGCATAAAAAAAGTCAAGATTTCATTCTGATCCACGAGGACCTGAAGGAGCGGTGCGATGGACAAGGTGGAAAGGAGCATGGTGATGGTATACTTAATGCAGGAGGAGAGCAGATGCAGAACCAGAACACGCATAACGACCTGCAGCTGATCATGCGGAAACTGGTATGAATTGCACAAGTATCGCTCTAGTGAGGATTGCATATACAAATTTGCCCAGCATTACAAATGTATATTTGTAGTGCGGATTTATCTTGAGAGCGATGCTTTAGCTTGGCATACCTGGTTTCTCTGGATGACTTAGCGGACGAGCTGGACAACATCAAATCTGGCGGTACAACATCAGCGAATCCCGCGATGATGTTCAAGGGAAGTAGAAGCAACGCAGCAAACAAAACCGGCTTAACCACGGGCGAAGATTCCCTCGGGGGTGCGGAAGTCCTAGGCGAGCAACGTGGAGGCCTATGCTCGTTCCAGTCGCTTTTGCCGCGAAGCGAGAACATCGTGCTCCGCATTCTGCGTTTCCAGGAACCGCTGCGAGTCATTCACGTGCGCGGAAAGCGCCCCAGTCTGCAAAATTTACCGCCGGATTTGCGGGAAAGCTACTTGGAAGACGTAGAGTTATATTGGATTGCTGTTTTGTTAGTAATTGTTTATCTTTTTGATTTTGCTTTTTCAAGTAAGGATATATGTGGTCGCTCCTGTGCTCCACGCGGCACCTGTCTCGTCTGCGCTCGAACGTGCGACGATAGATTCAGACACATCACACGACAGAGGTGGCGAATAAAACACACACTATCTTCAATAGCTCCGTCACCAGCAGGAATTGTTTTCAACCGGCGCAGGAGGCTCATCTCTCTTCAGTACTGCGCGACCATCTTCCGGCCACTTTCAACACGGCGCCAGCACCGCCGACTTAACGCCCAGCTCTCCCCTGATCCGTGCGGCTTTCCCCAATGTCGTTCGGTTGTTCTCGTCTTTTCTGCCCACGTATGAAACCTTTTCTGCCGGTGGGGCGCTGAGAACCGGCGGACAAAGAACTTCTTCACGTGGTGGGAGGACGACCGGGGGTGGCGGTGGCGGAAGTATTTCGTCATCGTCTCAACGAGACAGTAGCCGAGTTACAACGCTTCGCTGGAGCCCCAACGGCGCCGTGGTGCAGATGACCCGTGGGGGCAACGTCCTCGAGGAAGTCTCGGGTCGTGCGCAGATGAACAGGCAGAGCTTCACCCTGACCGACGCGGAGGATAGCTTTGACGAGGAGGAGCAAACGGTTTTCGGCGCGTGCGCCGCCGCGGGCGGATTGACGACCTCTGCCGGGGGTGGGCCACTGGTGCACAGGATTCCTGGAACGTTTGATCCCGCAGAAGCCCTGGAGGGGTTCGAGCTCGACGAATCGAGCGACGAGATCATTTTGGATGAACTGCTATCAAATGGAAATTATATGTCTGGGCCCTCTGGAAATTCGTGATTGTGATGCGAGCGGAGGTTGGCAGTAACGAATGAATCTAGGACCGTCTCAATTTATTTCGACGGCCAAGCATGACAAATTTTTGAGTCGCTAAATGTTTTTTGCTAAAATTCTGCATGGCAAGCTGCGTTTCTGCATGACAGACTTGAGAGTTGTGCTGGCCGAGCATGACAAACCTTGCACTTCTTTCACCCAGACCCAGACACATATTTGCATATGCATAACAGCTGCAGACACGCTTGAAACTGAAGCCGATTTTCAAGTCCTTGGAGGAAAAAATCGTCACGACTTCCGGTAGCTCCTCCACATCGTCAGGAGCACTTCTAGGAGCTACGCCGGCGATGATTACATCACAGAAATTTGTTCTACCCGGCAGGTTATGGATTGCAAAAGTGTCTGGGTCTGGAAAAGTGTAAACTTGTCATGACATGAGGTCTGGAATGCGGGACTTAGCATGACAGACTCTGCGAGGTCTCTGCCATGCCTATCCTGCATGAGAAACTCCTTCCAACGTGGTCAAACGTGGACAGCTTTTGGCTCTCATGCAACACAGATTTTTGCATGCTTCAGATGTACCATGACAAGTTGCCGCCTTCCAGACCCAGACATATTTACAATTGATACAGGTCCGCCTCCTCGTCCTCTTTGCACAGCGCATGCTCCCGGTCGCCTTCCCCCTCGACCACATCGGGAAGCTGTTATTCAAGAAAAAAACACCATCACAATCACTTTTGATGCACATTTTTGCAATACAAAAATTTTTGTCATGCGCAAAAATGCATCACAGTCAAGAGCTAGCGGGGATTTCCCTTTGTGTTTTTGCAAAAAAAATTTGTCATGCAAGAGAAATTTCTGATGCAAAACCTCCTAAGTGTGATGGCGTTTGTAATGGTGTTTTTTTCTTGGATAGCTGTGGCGGTCGTGCTAGAGCGACCAGGCTCGGGGGGGCTTCTGGTGCTACCCCAGTTGTCACGAAGACTCGCAAGATGAAGTTCACGATCCCAAGAGAGCACAAATTGGTGCTCCTGTTTACCGCGGAGCTCTTCCCTAAAGTGTCTCGCTTGGTGAAAACGAAGAAGATCTTCTTGACCGAGCGGCATGGCCGACAGGGGGAGGAACAGAAAGCGTTGGCCGGTACTATATATGGATTCCATGTTGTACTTACTCACTTATAGATACAAAAGTGTCGGCTCAAATATGCGAGGCCTAGCATTAGCTTTTTCTCAATATGGCCCGGACAGATCGTTTTTTTTCAGGTCGTTCGAAAAATTTTGAATACGTATTTGCATGATCGCAAACGATAGTCGTTTTTGTGTAGCTAAACATGTGTACCATAGATAATCATCACGAACTAGCTAGTGTGAATACAAATAAACGTCATGAGCTAGCTAGGTAACCTCAAGCTATCTAGTCTTGTGGATTCGCACGAATCCACAAGACTAGATAGCTTAAGGTTAAGTAGTTCACATGTGTAGCTACGTATGTGCTTCTCTAGTTATTAGCTAGTGAATTAGCTAACACACTCATACAAATTAGCAGCTCAGAAGCTGCACTTCATGCATTCAAAAGAGCTATTCAAAATTTTTCGAACTAGTTGGAAAAAAACGATCTGTCCGGGCCATACTCAACGTGTGACAAAGAAACTTGGTATAGATTTGTTTCCGTTTTACAACACTGTTCTTGAGCAACACGCAATGAGCATCGCCAGATCCTCACTTCAACAAGTGCAGCCCTCTACTGCTCCGTGAACAAACAAGAGTACAGCAGCAGGCATACACGACACACTACCGCGGTAGGACGAGGCTACTTCTGTGCTGAGTACAGTCCAATAAACGATCAAAATCGAAACCCACCACAGCCTCCTCTCAAATGAGAGGAAGTAGGCAGTACCACGGACGATTACCCGGCAGGGTGGCGGTCGATAACCCAAATGCCGGGCGGGAACTTCACATATGCATTGCAAAAATGTCTGGGTCTGGAAACTTGTAATGCTAAAAATGAATGATAGACGCACTGCAATACGCAACTATGCATGACAAATTTTTTGGCTACCAATGTCTTACGTATTCCGCATGGCAAACTGCGTTTTTGCATGACAGGCAAGAGGGCTTTTTCGTGCCTATGCAACACAGATTTTCGAGTCATGCCAGACAAGCATGACAAACTTGCATTCTTCCAGACCCAGACATTTACATTTTTACAATTTGATATCACACCTACGCCAACCACTCACCGGTAGACGAGGAGGAGCTTAGCCTGGTCTCGCAAAAGGATCTGCCGGACAGCGCCGCCGTGAAGGAGCTGACCGAGGAAGATATGCATGGCAAAAGTCTTATAATCTGACTAGTTACGTAGACTTAATTGCATGACAAATTTCCTCAGAAGGAAAAGTGGAACTTGTGATGCTGATTCAGGTATAAAAAAAATTTTACATTTCCATTTGTCATGCAGTGCTGCAATCGGTACTACGACTACGAGTGTCGTGACGCAAGAACTTTTGCACTGGATAGAAGAGCAGGCGGCCTTGATCCAAGAAGCGGAGCTGGAGCGGTGCTGCTCGGACGAGCCCGAAGCAGGAGGGGACGAAATACAGGGAGAGCGACACAAGGTAACCGGAGATGAAGCTGAAGAAAACCAAGACCGTCGAAGAGAACGCGAGGAGAGCGGCGCGCGGGATCATGTATTCTATTCAGGTGCACAAAACGAAAAACAACATGGTGTCAATAGCGACACTGCAAGACAAGCTGATGACGTCGGTCAGTTGCGTGAGCAGGAGCAGGAGCACAACCCCGAAGCAGACAGCGACGACGACAACCTCCAAGGGTTCCTGTTGGAAGACTACCTACCAGCCGGTCAGGGAGGAGATGACGAGGAGCAGGTCGTGTTTCAAATGCTCGAGCAGAACTCGGACGAGGAGGATGTTGGTACGGCATCAAAGACGAGAAACAACACAGGGCTACTCCTGCTGCACGAGGACCCGCAAGAGCCGGAAACAGCGGCAAATACGGCCGCAACTACCGCCGTGGACGACGAAGCGCCGGGGAAGGACGAGGAGTCTAGAAACCGGCGCGATTCATCAGCTTCAAATGGTGAAGAAAAGCAGGCGGGAGAAGGAGCTGAGGGAGCTGCTGTAAGAATAGCAAATGAGGATGTTGACGTGGTGAAAAAGAGCACATCTTGTTCCCCTGATGAAACAGGTGAGGAACTACAAGAAGATGCAGTCATGGAGACGGCAGAAGCTGCGAGCGAGATCGAAATCGATGAAGAAGGCGACCGGAACATGTCTCCCCGTGGGACGAGTCTTGGAGAAGTACAAGCGTCTTCAAAAATATGGTCTGAAGACGACGCAGCTGCAGGAGGAGCGCAACTGCAAAATAACCCTGATCATGAGCTGCCCAACATGGACGTCGATTCGGAACATCAGGAGAGAGCGCCCACGACCCCTGACGGTAGATCAAGACAGCTGGACACCACCACCGCCACCACTTCCAGCGTCAGCTCCGACTCTTCCGATTCCATCAGAGCCACGCTTTCGTCTACTACTGATGTTGAACAAATCGAGCGCAAGCGAAATCCTCGTGGTGAGCACCATCAAGTGCGGGCAATTGAAGTTGAACAGACCTCGACTCTGACGATCGACTTGCTCCCGCGAGCACAGTTGGGCTATTTCTTCGTCGAGGAATGGCAGCAGGAGAAGGACCAAGTTCAACTGTTGAAGCAGCTGTGGCAACAGCGGCGAAGCGAGCAGCTGCAGGCCTGTGTCGGGTATTTCGAGGAGGGAGAAGAGGAGGACCTGGTATTAAAAAAGCAACGACACCAGCAAGTTCTAGACGGCCGCAGCGAGCAGCAGCATCCCGCATCAGTGTACGCATTCGCATCTTTCCGTGAACAGCAAGACACAACATCACGTTCCGGAAGCCGAGGTTCACCGCAGCTGCTGCACCATCACTTGCAGCGTGACATGGTGGGGGACGACGAATTGAAATTGCTGCAGGAGCAGTTGCGAAACGAGAAGGCAGCTGGTGGTGGTGCTCCTGGTGGAGCAAACGACGCTGACGACGGGTCCTTTCAGGATGGTGAATTCGAGCTGGTGGTCCAGAAAGTGTTTGCGATGCCCCGGCGCTCCGGTGGAGAGGTTGACCCGACCGGACTGCTTGAGGCCGCGCCAAGCCCACTGTCGAGGCTCGCAGCGAATGTGGCACAGAATGTCGAGGACCGTCTTGGACCCACACCGACACGGGTACTTATAAATTTGGGAATTCAACAATTTTTTCTCGATGGTCGACATGCTGAACCTAAGCCTAGCTGATACCTGTTGCGTAGTCATTGTGATGAAACAAGGAGGATCTTCGAAGCAGTTGTCATGGCGGCCATGGGCCGTTATAGAAGAAAAGCCCGTAGTACTAGCACTTACTACAGTTTCGACTTTGATGCCTTTGCTACTGGAGAGAGACCACGAGATTGATAAAAAAAAATGATGTCTTCGGGGTGCAGATCAGCAGTTCCTTTGGATAGTATTTGCGCAATCATCATGATCATCACAGGTCCTTTCCACCGTCCCCAAACTGGCCGCGCGCATGGCGATCCCGCTCGCAAAATCGACCCTGCCTGTTGCGGTGAACGTCCTCTTACCCGCCCTGGATGAAATTCAGAAGCAGATCCCGGAGGAACACCGTATGAACTGCAAAAGTATCGTACTCGTATGAATGCATTACAAATTTCCTCAGCATGAGAAATAAAACCTGTAGTGCGAATTTACCTGCAGGAAAAGATTCGTAATGCATAGCTGCAATACAACGAGTACGATATTTTTGCACAGGATACACCGGCAGCGGCTGCAACAAACCGCACGGGCGGTGTCAGAGACGGTGGAGCACTCGGTCATTCCCGCGCTTCATACTACCGTGGCGACCGCCCAGGAACTCCGCGCGCAGGTCCGGCAGGACGGCTACAAGAGCACAATGAAGACGCTGCTGAAGAAGGGCAGGGACCGATTGGAGGCGGACGTGGTGCCTTACGTAATAATATGAACTGCAAACGTATCGTACTCGTAGTATTGCAACACAAATTACCTCAGCATGACAAAGAGAATTTGTCATGTTGATTTAGCTAAAAAATGAAATTAGTCTTGCATGACTGCGATTAGTACGTGTACGATGCTTTTGCACAGTATAAATAAACACGGTGACCGGGCACCACCCGCCGGTGACAATTTACGAACACGAGCAAGACGACCCGGAGAACCAATTCAAAGTTGTATCGCGAGGAAAAATGCACCCACCGCCAAAGTTGCAAAATTTGTGATGCAAAGTCTCCAAATGGAAACTTTTTGTCATGCATGAAAGGAGTATGAATCTTTCCGATGCAGAGTCTAGGCGTGTATCGCATCGCTTGCATGACAAGTGCCGCGCTTAGTGGGATCTCTTGCAATGCAAATTTTTGCTATTCACCATCGGAAATCTGTGATGCTGATAGATGCAACAGGGCGAATGTTTCACTTGGAAAGGTTTGCAATAGATAGAGATACTTACAAATGCTCCCAAGTTCGGGGGTGGGGGCATTTTTCATCGTAATAAGTTTCGGTGGAAATGAACGAGTGTTGTGCTAGCAGCCCGGCGTCGGCTTTTGCCTGCTCCATGGACACGACTAATTCCAGTAATTTTTCGCCTGCATGTAGTTCCAGCGGTGCTCCTTCGCGGGCGGGGTCTAAGAAATCCTCGTGGTCTGGTGCAGTAGCCGCAACTTCGGATTGCGGTGTGCAGGTATCGTCTATCTGTGAAGAGGACCGCATTGGTGGAGGAGAGCATTTTCTGCGTCCTCCCACGACAGCACACACATTGACGGCGGAAGCCATTTCGAAAAACCGATGCAGCTATTACGGCGGCGCAAGTAGCTCCACTTCCGGAGCAGGGCAGCCGCGGCAGCGCGAAGATGTTGTTCCAGCTGCTCCTTTCCCCTACAATTACACAACGGAAGCGAGCGAAGCGGCAGAAAGGGCAGCTTCTGTCAGCGCAGGATCAGTAGCAGGAGAGCAGCTGTATGCTAGTACCCCTGACAATTCTGATGAGGCATCTAGTACGTCGGGGCCGCCGTTCAACAACTTTTATCGTGGTGGTCCTAGTGCCTCTACAACTTCCCTGATGCAACAAGAAGAAGAGCAAGCCCGGCCCTCGGACGAGTTCTTGCAAAAGATTGTCGGTGCCGCAGAGCAGGAGTCTTACACGCAAGTTGGACGACCTCGCGCCATGTCTGACGTCTCGACTTGCTGTTCCGCTGCGGGAGCCGGGGCGGGAGGAGCTGGTGCAATGATTGCACCCAATCCGCTTAGCCGCACGACCAGCGTGATTTCCGGAAGTAGCACAGCAGGAGCAGGGGGAACGTCGACTATCCTTCCTGGAGGTGGCAACCCGAGGACGCCGAGCCTGGGCGGTGGTAGCACGCCGTCTAATTCGCCACCCAGTTCCCCTGCGATTCCACCGTTTCTACTCGGCGGTGGGGGAGGCGCTTCTTCTGTCACGCCGATTAATTCACCCGGGCTGGTGGGAGGTCCCGCGGCAGGTGCAGGTGGTAGAAATACTGATGCTTGTGTGAATAATATTGTCCGTGGAGGAAGTTGTAGTTCGCAGACCACGAAGATTACGTTGAAACAGGCATACAAAAACGACTATATATTAAGCGATAAAAATATGAATAAAACAGCATCTGTCGTGTCGGCAAGAACCTCGCCAGGTGGAGTCTCAGCGATCTTCCCGCCGCCTGGTGCACTCTCCCCGCCGTTCTTGTTCAGCAGTACAGCCAATTCGTCCCCCTTCCCTGGCGGCACGACGAATTTGCAGCGCACTGTGATCAATGAAGAGATGAAATTGCATCAACCAGGTCGTGCAGCTCTCAAGAATGACGTCGGTCGAAGTACAACTAGACAACCGCACGGAGAAGTACCAGTAGACCATGGGCTGCACCAGCAGCAGCTCCTGCAAGAAAAATCCTCAGACCCTGAAGATTTCAAGCTGCAGTTTACCCACGAGCAGCTGCGCGCCATAATCGTCGCTGAGGAGTGCGACACAGTGGAACTCGAGCTGGTGAATGTCAAGCTAGCGGAGCTAGAAAATGGCGCCGGCTACACGGCCTTGCTGGTGAACCCCCAGGGATACATCGTGAACGTCGAGAGTCGGGAGGAGTAGCGCGCAAGAGGAAAATCTAATTTTGTGGAAAGACGAGGACGAAAACACTCCGAACGGTGCGCCAGGACGATCATTTTGCTGCATGTCAAGAACTACATGGAGATAGTACTGCACCTACTTTCGAGGAGTGGAATTTTTCGGCGACCTTGTTTTGTCATCGAGCGCAAAGGTCGGCTACTGAGTTGCTTTCGTTGCGGACCCGCAGAGACGGGAAAAACAAGTAAAATGCTCATTGTAGTTATCTGAGAATAAACAACTAGTCAATTTGTCGTTTTTACCGTGCTAACGCTATGCAGTTTTGAAGATTCATTTGTATTTGTTTGCGTTTTTTCTTTTTGTACCATGAGACGGCAATGCCAATGCCACTATTTTCATTTTGGTTCTTGTTTTTTCAGCGCTTATTTCTAGTCTATCCCTACGCTGCTTGATACCGGCACTTCAAAAATGCATTTTCAAAGGCAAAAACTTTTCTCTTTTTCCGGTTCTGGTTTGAGAATAAAGGCAAACACAAGATAAAGTTTTGATGTTTTAGTACCGAATAGCAATAGTCGAAGATTGTTTTTCAGGTTCTTGAAATCTCAATCCTGAATAAAATGAACTACAAGTGATTCATTGGGCAGCTCTTCTAACTCGTTCGCGAAAGCTCTATTTGTCGAAAATACTAACTCCTACGCATTTGCGCATTGAATGCAATAAAAGCGTGTTCAAGTAGTGAAGTCATAGGAAGAAAAAACATCTTTCCCTTGTCCTCTTGGCAGTTGCAGTTCTTGCGCCAAGGCCGAGGCCGTGCAAGGGGTCGCTGTTGCAAATTTCTCGAAAGGTACCTTCCCTGCTCTGGAGGAGACGGACCGGGAGGTGGTGTTCGTGCATTCGGCAGAACATCCGTACAGGAACACTAGAAGTGATCTGTTATACACGCGGGCCATCACTGTGTTATAAGCTAGTCAGTGCAACGCGATACTCGTGTTTGTTGCAGCAGAAGTCCTCAGAGCGGCCGCGCCCCGCCGACCATGGATGTACTTACGGGTTCGCGGTGGTCCGAAGGAGCAACGATCGTCGTCGAGAGCTGCAGATTTGCCTTGGAAGTACAACACGTGCACCACGTCGTTGTCAGTCTCAGTTCTGTCGTGGAGTGTATAATTACCTGCCAGCCGCTGGTGTTACCTCAGATTCTAGCCGTCTTCCCTCGGTAGAGGAACTGCATACTCGTAGTTCCTCCACATCCACCATTAGTTCTGTCCTTTATTGCAGCTCCAACATAGAACAACAACCTCGCAGCAGATTCTTGTAGAGGCAAGTATACTTAACCTTAAGTGGAGGTACTCGAACGAATGGTGACGCCACGTTCAGCGTATTTTTACTACATCTAAGCGCGCTGGTATCTATAAATCAACATGGTCGATTACAATTTCCACGAGTCCTCCCTGCTCGACGCTTGCTCGCTCGGCGAGTTAGAAGGGCGGCTGGAGCAGGAGGAGCGACTGATCGAGGAAAAACAAAATCTGCTTTCCGAATACAAAAACGAGAAACAGACGCTACTGCAGGAGCGCAAAACGTTGATGAAGCGGTTGAAGCGGCTGTATAAGGAGTACCGGAAGTCGCACTTGCCGCTGTTCCAGCGACTCGAGGAGCAGCAGAAGTACGCGGTCGTTTTTGAACTCTTCAATACAACTACGACCAACAGCAGCAATGCTACTGGAGGCTCATCAACTACTTTGTCGACGTCCAGCAGTATAATATCTTCTACTACGCGGGGAGGGTCTACGTCTACTTCTGCCAATCAAGCAGCAACACAAGAAGTGACCCACGTCGACGCAGCACCTCCGGGGGCGAATCTTCAACATGCGACGGGCACCTCCAAAGCCGGAACAGCCAACAGTAGGGCTTTTGTGGATCTTCAACACGCAGCTCCTTCGGGTGGTTCTCTGCGAGACGACGAGCTGCAGTATCATGTGCTTCCGCTATTGACCGGCACGAGCTCGAAGTCTTCGTCCAGCACGTCGCTTGCTCCAAGCCTGGCGAACAACAACTATTCTGCCCCCGCCGCGCAAAGGCAAAACAGAAACAGCAGCGGACCACCAACGAGCAGTCGATCGAAATCGGACCTGCGCAAGCAGCTGTCCGAGCAACTGAAGGAGATGGTCACCGGATCTGTCGCGGAAGAAGACGAGGAGGTATGCATGGCAAATTATAATATGTCTGGGTCTGGAAACTTGTAATGCCAAAAGTCAATGAATAAATTCAAATGCACACTGCACCGAAGCATGACAACTTTTTTGGGCTTCTATGTGATAGCGGATCCCGCACGTCCCAGCGTACTATTGATGGCAGGTTGCAACGTTTTCGCATGACAGGTATCAAGTAGAGGCTCGCTTCCTGTGCTCTCGCATCACAAAATTTAGAGTCATTTCTTGAGGAGACGGGAAGCATAACAGTAACGTGTACTCTTCCAGAGCCAGTCAGACATAATTGCCGTGGATAGGAGGCTGTGCGCAACCAAATCAACAACGCAGACGATATTCCGGTACAACATGCGGTGCATAGCAGGATTGTTGGCGAAGAAGTAGTATGAAATGCAAAAGCATCGTACTAGTACTAGACTACTACGCCGGCGTCCAGGACGCCGGCGATAGGTCGTCTAGTAAATCTAAACGCAAATAAGAAACAGGAAAAGACTTAGCGAGTCGAGAGAGTCCTACTAGTGGAAATCTGCTAGCGGAAGCGCGGCCACTATTCGAAACCCTCCGGGCGGTTTTAGCATGACAAAGAAAACGGGCCCGCGCTTGCTACACTAGCAGCGGCCCACATTAGTCGACGCGCCCGCTCTTGCTCCCGGGGCTTCTAGCTCGCCCGCGCGCCCCCGCCCGGCCGCGGGCCCTGGCCTGATCCCCCTCTCTTGGGCTGCCTGAGTTCTAATCTCTAGAAAGGGGGGGCCACCTGGAGATATATCCCCAGATATATCCCCAGATATATCCGCAGATATATGTATATCCCCAAGCGTCCGACCGGATGGCGTTCGTTGGGGTGGCGGGCTCGCTCGCTCTGCCGGGGCGGGAGCGCTCTTGCACCGCCCCCCCCTACCCCCCCCCCAAAGGCGCAGGTGCCGGAGAGTAGCCAGAATAGGGATGCCAAACACCGGCCCGGCGAATTTGTTGCGGCTCCTCCAGGCGAGGGCGATTGCGCGCTAGCCTGCCAAAGGCTCGGGAATCCTTGGTCTGCGATGCAGGTTGCACCCCCAAGCGCAGACTGCAAAAGCTGGCAGCGCAGGCTGCAAGGGTTTGCAGCGCCTTTTCCGCTTGCGTTGCAGATTGCAACTTCCAGATCAGGCTGTCGCGTGCGGCGCAGGTTGCAGCCTGTGGCCCGGGCTGCCGCTTGCATCGTTGCCAGCCCTCGGTCGCCCACGTTGTAGACGGCCACTGGCGTCGCAACTTGTAGTCTGTCCCAGCTGGCGCGTCGGCCTGTGTTGCAGGTAGCCGCCGCCTCCTGCATCAATAGCGCCAGCATGCACCGCAAAAGGTTGCAGACCGAATTGCAAGAAAGGCACAGCCTGCAACACTTGCAGTGCGGAAATCGCAGCGCAGGCGTCAGCCTGCTTTGAAAGCTGCAGCCTTTAGTGCAAGTTGCCGCCTGCGTCGCGAGTTGCAGCTGCCCGCATTGCAAAAAAGCGCCCGGCTGTTAGCAGTGCTACAAGGTAACGAAGCCGCACTTGTAACATACCCAGGGGCCGCCCGCGAGGAGGACGCTCGCACATGCAGAGCTTTTGGTCCCCACGATGCCGCTCTTTTTCTTACAGGCGTTCGCTTAGAAGATTCCTCTAGGAGCTCTCTTTGGCGAAGCTTCTAGAGAAAGCTTCTAGAAAGTGATCTCCCTACTAATCATTTTTTAAGAGCGGCCCTATAATCTATAAGGCCGAAAATTCCGAGCAAAAAAACTCTATTGTTATTTTATAAATCGCATGACAAATCTCCTCAGCATGAGAAATAGAATTTGTAATGCGGATTCAACTTGAGAAAGAAATTTGTAATGCATGAATGCGATTAGTACGACTACGATACTTTTGCACAGGATAAGTAGAGTGTCTTCAAGCTTCGACTTCGGGCGTGGGCCGCTCCGAGAAAAATCACGAGAAAGATCTTTATCCCGGTCTTGGAACCACAACTGTGCCGCGACGTGCAGCCGACGAGAGTGTACCAACCAGCGACAAAGGTCTTGCGGTACTCGAGGCAGGCGGTGCCGACAGTTCCAGTACGAAAACCAGCATCAACTTGCAGCTGCAGAGCGTGAAGAGCGGCGAGCGGCGCTTTTCCCAGGATGATTCCGTCGCCTCTTCGGCTTCGCCAAGGTGGAATTATGGTACAACTCCTGCAATAAAAAGCAGTTGTTCCAGCGTCGGGGGCCTGGGCCTGCAACAGGCTGGGCCGAGCAGCCCACTGAAGAATCACCCTCAAGAACAAGCAGCAGAAGAAGGGCAGCAGGATGTTGTTGAACACGATGCGCCGGCGCAACAAGCATTACAGCTAATAGACGAGCATGAGATAAAGAACAGAACAAACACTAACATGCAAGAATCTCCGCGCGCCGGCGTCAAGAACACAGAGGACCCTCAGGTGGTCGTAACTTCGTCCCGTGGAGGCGGGCCTCGTCAAGAAAAGCAGCCCCAAATAACGACATCCACCAAAATGCTCCACCTTCGGCGGTCCAGCGTGCAGGAAAAGTGGGGCTTCACGTACGACAGAGAAATGTTTCACAAGGGCGAATATCAACTGCAAATGTGTCTGGGTCTGGAAGGATGCAAGGTTTGCCATGCTTGTTTAGCATGCCTGAAGAGTTTGTGATGCGCCGTGTCCAAGAAAAGACCCTCTTGCTTGTCATGCAAAACGCAGCTTGTCACGCGGAAAGCGCAACACTAAGCCGCGCAAATATGTCTCATGCTTGACTGTGCATTGCAGAGAATTGGAATTCACTATTCACAACTCAGCATTACAAGTTTCCAGACATCCAGGGATATTTGCATTTGATAGCGGACGCTGGATCACGAAGCTGGTGCCGAACTCGCCGTCCTGGATCTACAAGAATGACATCCCACCAAACTCGAAGATCCTGACGGTGAACGGCTGCGCTAAGAATGAGGGGATCAAGGGAGAGCTAGCGAATGCGCTGGACATCAAGGTTGAGATTTTGATAACAAGAACCCCGGCGCCGGAGACGACGACGAGGACCTTGTTGCCACCTCCAGCTGCGGCGGCAGGAGAGGACCAAAAAGTAGAACCGCATTTGGAAGTAATAGACTTCGGCTCTTCCTCTGTGTCTATGTCCAAGTTGCAGCAGACCACAGCCCTGCAGGTGTTGCAGCAGCAAATAACCTCCGCGGAAGAGACTACCACGAAATCGACCGTGAATCAGGATTATGAATTGCAGAAGCATCGTACTCGTATTATAAATGCACTACAAATTTCCTCAGCATGAGAACTAAAATTTGTAATGCGGATTTACCTATGAGAAAATGACTTGTAATGCACGACTGCAATTACTACGAGTGCGATGCTTTTGCAATGCATAAGGATCAGATCAACGGCGACGACAGTCCGGTGGATGCGCCGGTGACTGTATGACAATGCACTACTCCCCCTCCCCCTCATTTGTATAGCATGAGCGGCAATACAAACACCCGCACACGTGGAGCCTATGCATGACAAATTTGATGTGTGCCTCATGTAGTACTGTTTGGGCTTCTGGAATTTGTCATGCAGACAGCGCGACAAGGCGAAGGCAGCGACTCACTGGATTGGGGGTTTTGCATGACAAATGAGCGCGAGGGGGAGTTGTACACTGGGATAGACTGCTAACGCAGGAGTTCTTCTCGTGCCTCCTTCGGATGTTGGTGAGAATGAGGACCGTTTTACGAATATTTCTCCTGCTTCTTCAAAACTGGACCGACTAGAGCAGGAGCAGTCTGCGGCCGCAAGGGTCGACTTCGAAGGAGGTGCTGGGGCGCGGGAGGACGAAGTACTAGTTGCTCAGAGAGATGAAGAGGACCATCCTCACCTACTTCAAGGGGGAGGCGATAGTACTAGCAAAATCATGCTGGAACAACAAGAAGCTCGCGAGGGCAAAAGACAGCATGAGGCCGCTAGTAATCTTCAACCGGTTCTCGACGTTCTTGCATCAGCTGCGTTGGAAGAGGAGAAAAGACCCACCTCCGCTGTAGTACAGCAAGAAATGCTCAGAGGAGCAAAGACACAGCACGGAAGCAAGAACGCTGACACAGTACCTCCAGCCACGTTGTTGTCACCCAACGTCACGACTTCACCGCCCGCTACAGAAGTCGGAAAAATTGTGACGGAAATACATAAGCCAAATTACCACGCCAACCACCTCAAAGATGCAAATGCCACGTCGAGTTCATCGTCCTCCTCTTCGACTTTCGCCGCGCCTCCGTACAAGTATGACAGTGCACAACTCCACCCCGTCCCCCTCATTTGTGATGCAAAATCCCAAGAAATCCAGCTGCTGCCTTGTAGCACTGTTTGCATTGTGACAAATAATTCTGGAAGCCCCAACAGCACTACAGTCCGTGCATAAACTTGCCATGCACAGCATACACGTGTGCTGGTGTTTGTAATTGCAGTTCATGCCATACAAATGAGGGGGACCGCGGGGAGTTGTGCACTCTCATAACAAGTCAAAGTCTCCGGCGCGCGGGTCCCCGGTCATGTTGGCGTCGCGCAGCCCCAATCGCAGCAGTGTGGGCTTGGCAAACTTAGCGACGTGGGCGACGGCTGGTACCACTAGATGTATCATCACGTCGTCCAAAACTTATGAATGTTTTTATGACAGAAGATGAGGCACCATGAGAGTAATTTATTTTTTCCTGACCTGGATTAGTACAACCTACTAGTAGAAGGTTGTAGTAAGTAATTTATTTTTTCCTGGACCTGGATGCAAAACCAGATCCATCGAACATTGCAACATGCAAATTGTAGTAGTTCTGTCAAGTTACTGAGCCCTGAACTTATCAGGTTCTACCTCCGCCGTCTCCCTCCTGGAGGACATTGATCTGGCGAACAACTTATCAGGTGCAAATATGTCTGGGTCTGGAAGAGTGTATCTTTGTCATGCTGGTCTGGCATGACTGTTAAACCTGTCATGCGCGTTACCCAAGAGCCCTACTTTTCTGTCATGCAGAAACGCGGTTTGTCATGCAGAATAAGAAACGCTAACAGCAACACCTCGAAGCTCAGAAACTTGAACTTGTCATGCTGAGCCAGCACTTGTGGCTTCCTCATGATACGGTACCCAGCATCACAAGTAGTTTCCAGACCCAGACACATTTGCAATGCATACAACTCTGAGACAGCAGGTTCGTCTTCAGCGGAAGTAGAGAACTATCAAAAACTTCTAAGCATAGTTGCAAATTCGCCTGGGTCGTCCCTGGAAAGTTGTGATGAAAGGACGGGATCATGAATAGTGAGGGCACTGTAAAAATGCGCTGCCGCCCGCCATGACAACAGTTTTTATTCCGTGGCTCCGAGTTGCGCATCTCCGCATGAGAACTGCGCTTTTGCATGACAGACAAGAAGAGCACTTCGCCTCCGACGCGGGCACGCAATACAGAGTTCTCCAGAGTCATGTTGCCAGACTACCATGTAGTTGACAAATCTCGCAATCTTCGCAACGACCCAGATGACATTTTAGCAGTGGATAATTTCTGCCCGAGGATTATTTGCAGTTCCACCCTCCTCGGAGCGACAGTGCGATGGAGGTTCAAAATCATGCCGGTCCTCGACAGAAGTCGGTCTTGCCGATAGACCGAAGCTATCAACTGCAAATATGTCTGGGTCTGGAAGTGTGAAACTTGTGACGCTGTCTGTGGACTCTAAAAATATCTGTGTTGCATGAGGAACAAGAGGAGTCCAGTTCTTGGTACCCGGAGAGGGCATTTCCTATGCGTGATAAGCATCAAGACGGTCTTAAAAAATCTGTTATGCAAGGACCTGCAACACAGACGTCACGGGCCATGCAAAATGTGCAGGACAACCCTGGCAGTCTTCCAGACCCAGACGTTTTTGCATTGCATAGAAGCCGGTACGTGGCACCCTCGCCGGGGGATCACCACGACGCCCAGTCTTCCCCTCTGAATATATCCTGTGCAAAAGTATCCTACTCGTAGTAATTGCATTTATGCATTACAAATCCCTTTTTCAAGGTGAAAGAGCATTACAAATTTGATTTGTAATGCTGGGCTAATTTGTAATGCAATTTATTATACTTGTACGATGCTTTTGCATTGCATAGAATGACGTGCGCAGCAAGGAAAGTTTGCTACCTATCGAAGCGGACATGAAGATCGGGAAGAAAGGCGGGGAGGAACCTCCGGGTAAAAAAACTATTTTATCAAAGTGAAAAAAGCCCCCACGCCCACCCCATCTCGGAAACGGAAGATGCGCGAATTTGTGATGCTGTATTTGAGTACACAAATCGACTTGTATTGCTAGAAGGCCAAGAGACGAAGCTGTGGCCCAAATTGCAGGGAATCTGTCATGCTTTTTTCCACTTCCAGTTGCCTCCTGTCATCCTGGAGCTGCAAGGCTTTCCCACGCTAGGCAGCACTACAGTCCGCATCTTTTGCCTTCCAGCATCACAAAACTGATTTGTGGCCACAAATCTGCATCACAGATTTCCGTTTTGATATGGGGAGGGGGCGTGTTTCACTGTAATATATTTCAACATCGGAAGCAGAAATCACCAAAACGTACAAGGTAAACTTCAAGCGCAGGAAAAACAAAACCATGAGTTTCGATTCCTTCATATCCCACAGAAAAAGAAGGCAGGTCATGTTTGTAATGCAAAAATAAATACACAAAAAAATCTGTCATCGGCGAGCCCATAGAATGCTGTTTGGGTGGACACGCAATACAGATTTTTTTGTCTACTTATTTTTGCATTACAAACATGACCTGCCTGGTGCTTTTTTCTGTCGGATACTTCAAGAAGCAGTTGTATGGCGGCGATGAGCGCCAGTTGGAAGCAATAAAGTCTGGCGGAGCTGTTGTAGCCCCGCCCGCAAGACCTACATCAACGACGACTTCCAGCACCGCGGAAGCAGCGACAGACACAGCGCAATCGGCGCTCTTCTCGAATTATAAACAGCGAGGGAAAGGACAAGGGCAAGGACCACAAGCAGGTCGTAGTAGTTTGATACTGCATGATGACCAGGAACTGCGTCATGAACAAATGAGTACTAGTACCCGAGGACAGGAGGAAGAAGACGCTGCAACTAGTTCTACTCGTGCTGGTGGTGGGCCCCCGCTGTTTTTACCGGAGCCGGAAGTGGAGATTTTGCAGAAACCCCTGGACTATGCACTGCAAAAGTATCGCACTCGTATAAATGCATTACAAATTTCCTCAGCATGAGAAATAAAATATTTGTAATGCGGATTTACCTTTAGAAAAAGATTTCTAATGCATGACTCCAATACGAGTGCGATACTTTTGCACAGGATATGGACCCCTATGAGGAGAAGCGGCGCATGGCGGAGAAATTTGCCAGCAACATCCGATATGGATTGCAAAAATGTCTGGGTCTGGAAGGTTGCAACTTGTCATGCTAAATCCGAATCATGCAAAAATGTGCCAAATAAAGCTGTCCACTTTCGACCAAGTCGGTGTCGTGTGGCAGTTTCTCATGTAGGATAAGCATGACAGAGACCTCAGCCGTACAGAGTCTGTCATGCTAGGTCGTCCCGCATTCCAGACCTCAATGGTCATGGAAAACATGCGTGACAAGTTTACGCTCTTCCAGACCCAGACATATTTGCCAGCAACATCCGAGTAACTACTTCAACCCCTACCCCGTCGTCTACCAGCTCCTCTTCCTTCCGACCGCCGCAGGCACCACGTTATCCTGTGCAAAAGTGTCGTACTCGTACAAATGCAAGTTTAGCATCACAAATCTTGTTTCCAAGGCAAATCTGCATTACAAATTTTACTTCTCATGCTGAGGAAATTTGTAATGCATTTATACGAGTGCGATACTTTTACAATGCATACACGTGCTTATGCGACAGCGAGAAGCTCGACCGGCGCTTCGCGATCTTTCTTTGAAGAAGACGAAGGAGCAGGCACAGTAGTGGAGCGGGATCATGGAGGCGAAGAGCGAGAGTTGCCCCGGTTTCTGCAATATCAAATGTAAAAATGCCTGGGTCTGGAAGAGTGCATGGTTGTCATGCGTGTCTGGCATGATTCTCAAATCTGTCATGCACGTTACCCAAGAGCGCCACTTTTCTGTCATGCAGAAACGCAGTTTGTCATGGAGAATAGGCAACACCTAGAAGCTTAGAAACTTGTCATGCTGAGCCAGCACCTATCTATGGCCTCATCATGATACGCCACCCAGCATCACAAGTTTCCAGACCCAGACACTTTTGCATTTCATATGCAAGCCATGAACCGCATCGACGAGATTCTGTCCAACGAAACCACAAAACATGACGATCTCGGTATCAAATGTAAAAATGTCTGGGTCTGGAAGATTGCGAGATTTGTCATGCAGATTTTCCATGTCCCATGAGGTCTGGAATGCAGGTTTTAGCATGACAGAGTCTGTGAGGTCCTTGCCATGCCTATCCCGCATGAGAAACTCCCTCCCAACTTGGTCGAAAGTGGACAGCTTTTGGCACTCATGCAACACAGATGTTCGCATTATTCGGATTTAGCATGACAAGTTTTAATTTTCCAGACCCAGACATTTTTACATTTGATACTCGGCGCCGACCTACGATTCTCGCACCACAACTCCGCGTCTAGTGTGGTTTCCAGCGTTTTAAACCCCTTTGACGACCAAGATCTCGACAAGTTGCCCATGACCTTCACCAGCACTTCTGCAACGCTGGGGGATGCTAGTGGTTCTAAACCCAGGAATAGCACCAAGCAATTTCTGGGCGACTACGGCAGCGACGCGTACTTTGCAGGTGACAGCAAATTCCCGAATATAATTACGTCCTTATCCTCCACGACCCCCTTTCCCGCATCATCTGCAGCAAGCCCGGCACTACAACTGGCCCCTCTCAAGAACGACCCAGTTGCCGTCGAGATTGAGTATGGGGTGCGGTTGGTTCCGGAAAAAAGCAAAACTACTACAGACGTTGAGGGGCGGAACTACATCAAGCGCAGTAGTAGACAGGAGAAGGAGGATGGTGATGGTGGTGCTGAAGATTTCGATGGCAACAAGAACAACAAGCGGATGTTGGAAAATAAACCTACATCATCTAGAAGGTACGGAGGTGCGGAACAAGACATCACAACTCACTACACGATGGAGCAAGAACATCCTGGCTCCACAACGACACAAGGCCATCTTCAAGGTGCGCAGTCTGAAATTTCTTCGAAGAAGTCCGTGGGAACGCACAATCAGGACAGCACCCTGCACACGGAAACCGAAGCAGCAGGTGGAGTTGTGCAGCTTACAAGCTCCAACGGCGCCGGGGCACCAGACCACCACCCAGAGGACGCAGAGATGAACGCAGACATCGCTTCTAACGGACAGGTACGCCTAAATGGATGTCAACAGGACGTCGAAGAAGCTGTTGAGCAGACGAGCGAAGAACAAGAAATACGAACAAGAACGCGTCGCAACGCAAGCAACGACAACACGTCCACCTTGAAAAGCGCAACAATACCAAAGAAGCAGGAGGAAGAAACGCCTCTAGATGTTGACGACGTTGACCAGTCCTCGCGGAGCGTCGAGCACGTTCTTGTGCTTGGTGGCGAGAAGGATGACAAAAAGGAGCACAGAAGTCGTGATGATCATTTTCTCAGTCGACTAAATGTAGGGGACTATCAAGATGCAAGCACTACTACACAACTCCGCGCGCCAGCAAACGACTTCTCAGGAGGACGAAAGAACATGGCTGTAATCAGTCGGGGGAACGATCGCGACGACGAAGAGGAGGAGGAGGACATCGTGATAGCTAGGCCGGTATCAAATGCAAAAATGTCTGGGTCCTCTGGAAGAGTGTAGACTTGTCGTGCAGATTTTCCATGACCCATGAGGGCTGGAATGCGGGATTTAGCCTGACAGACATTCTGTGAGATCCCTATCATGCCTATCCTGCATGAGAAACTCCCTTCCAACTTGGTCAAAGGTGGACAGCTTTTGGCACTCATGCAACACAAATTTTTGCATGCTTCAGATTTACCATGACAAGTTGCCACCTTCCAGACCCAGACATATTTGCATTTCATAGCCGGAGTCCGCTGCAACGGAGATTTTTCAACACCAGTATGAGATTGATAAAATATTCATTTCAAAAATATTCATAGTGCAAAAAAAAAAATTTTTTGACCGAAAATTGCACTGCATTAGCTGATGTACCTTTTGCATGATCAAATTGGTGCATTTTGTGTATGTATTTCAACTAGAATAGCCAGGAACGTACTTAGATTGAACTACTTTATCTCTATGCTAAAGTATTGGGCTTCTGTATCTTCTTCCAGCTAGTTAATTAAGAAATACTATCCAAGAACCTTCAAAAAAGATCATCGACTAAGAGAGAGATCGAAGAACTGTCGATGATCCTTTAGATATAGTAGCAGCTGCAGCAGCTGCTGTCCTCCGGTAGCCGGCCTTCCGCAAACGACCGTCGAGCCTGGAGAGCTCCTACTCCGTCGCGATGTAGGCGTGCGGATTCGCCCGAATCCGCACGCCTACATCGCGACGGAGTAGGAGCTCTCCAGGCTCGACGGTCGTTTCCGGTAGATCGGCAGTGGAGCGGCAGCAGCAGCTGCAGCTACTTACTATTACAAAAGGATCTTCGAATGTCTTCGTTCACTCACTCAGACGATGATCTTTTTGGCATGTATTTCTTTAGTATTTATTAAGTAGCTAGCTGGAAGAAGATACCAAAGCCCAATACTATAGCATAGGTCTTAAGTAGTATAATCTAAGAACGTTCCTGGCTATCTAGTTTAAATTACATGTATAGAATGCACCAACTTGTTCATGCAGAAACCACCTCGCCTCCTATAGGGCAATTTTCGGTCAAAAATTTTTTTTTTTTGCACTATGAATATTTTTGAAATGAATATTTTATCAATCTCATAACCAGAGGTACGTAATTACACATGATGTTTTTGACCACAACTGTGCCAATTGAATTGGCACCTGATGAATGTTTTTTACACATGATGTTTTTGACCACAACATCAACATCCTTGCAACCGAATTGAATTCGGTTGCAAGGATGTTGATGTTGAGTCTGTCATCGATGAGATTTTTTTACTATGCCGTTTTGGAAAGAAGAAAAACAAGAACATCACAACGTTCGTATTTATGCCGGCGCAGGGACCATCTTCATGATGTAGATGTTGAACATTCATAAACGATCGATGCATGTTGACGACCGAAAAAACGAGATGTTGGCAATAAAAAATAATATTAAAACTTCTTCGTCAACATCATGCGACAGCTCTGGCTCCTCCTATCCGCAGTAAAATTACAACCTCACACGACGGCACAAAAATGCTATACACAATTGCATGACAAAGTATACGTAATTGCATGACAAAGGCACGAACACTTGTGGTCGCTAGCATCGACGATAGAGATGCACATCAAAGCGGAATCAACACTCCTTACGCTTGCTGCTCACCAGGGGTAGTAGTTGACTAAATTTTCCGAATCGCGTTTTGACTTGCGCCTGCGCCGGTGATGAAGTTTCACTGCATATTATCCTGAGTAAAAACGTACCCACACCAGAATCAGGATGGGGATTTTGCAACACAAACCTAGGAGTTTTGTGAGTCACGCGTGACAAGTTGCACTCTGCAGTGTAGTGCAGGTTAGCAAGTGCAGCCGCGTCACAGATTCATCTGCTCATCCTGTTCACAGCATCACAAATTCCAAAACACGATTGGAAATGGCTCTCATGCGGATGCGCATTACAAGTCTTCCTGTCTTTGCAAATCTGCATTACAACTCTGGTGTGGGTACGTTTTTACTCAGGATACATATTACCCCGCCGCCCACTTGTTCTCCGACTCCCGTTAATAATGGAAGCATTCCACCAGGAAACAGTCGCATGCTGCGGCCGCAAGACGAGGCAAGTAGTGACGACGAAGGGGGTAGGTTCGACGGACTATCACAGGAAAAAATTGTTACAGTTAATACACATTTGTTGTGATTTCAGCATCACAAATTTGCTCTGCATGGCAAAGAAAACTTGTAATGCGCAAGCTATAATAAGGGAAAACACGAATGGGAATGAAATGACGCTGGCAAGCGTTTCCTGCATGACAGAGGTTGTTTGTCTTGCTTGTCTTGCATGAGAGTGTGTAAAAACTGTATAACACTTTTTTCTCACGATACGGACGCGACCGGAACCACTACCGAGGCTCGACCTCTACTTTCGGTACAAACGACAACCCCTTCGCTTGATGAAGCTCGGGCTTGCCATCTTCAACCTACCGCTCTAGCGCTTGCCGATGATAGACTTTGTGTCTGCGGACCCGGACGCGTCGTGAAAGCACGAGACCACATGTTTTCATCGATACAGTCGTGACAAAAAAACCGGTATTAGACTCAGAAGGTAAAAGCCGCTCAACATGCAAAAAGTAGTCAATAAAAGCGCTACGACGACTCAGAAACCTAGACGAGCGAGGAGGTTTGTTGATGATAACCAGGAGGAGCGGCGGTTGCTAGCTGTTCGTTGCAACAACTGTAAATAAATTCTACTGCTTATTGATAGTTGTAAGTTGCAGCAGAAGTGCTGTTCGATCTTGTCCGTAAAGAACGGCAAGTTCTCGCAGCTGTCCTCAGCGTGGTCTTAGACGGCATCCTCACTACAGAGCTGTTCATGATGATGATCTCGTGGTAGCCCCCGCGCATGTCTATAATTGTGGCTCTCTTTTAATCGTCGCTTCAACAAGTCGGCTCTACTTACTCGACTTTCTTCCCCAAAGTAAGTCGGTTTTGTTCCTCGTGCGAAGATTCCGGTTCGGTGGTGCCATAAGGAACCTCTGCCAGAAGCAGCGGTTGTAATATTAGTCTGTAAAAAGAACTTCGGCTCGTCGGTGGGCTCTTCAACTACTTACTTCTGCCATAATGCTCGTAGACGTACAACCTCCGCGTCGGTGAGAACATTGCTGGATGTAGTTTCGGTTGATTTTTTGGTAAAATACTGAATACCTCGACGACGTGCACGTACGTGTGTTCGGAACACACGACGTGCAAGGTCGAGGATCCCTGACGTCGTTCTGCGCCTCGGTTGTACATTGTGCACTACAAAATATTATTAAGGTTTGACTTTGAATATCGGTTCCAAATCCAATCCTCGAGGAAGAGGAAGACGATGGGACTTTGATGTTTCATGCTCGTGCGAATTCATTATCATTCAAGAGGAGAGCTAGAGCTACAACTTCAAGAATCTCTTCTGTTGCAAAATGACAAGGGTGATCTTCTTTTGAATGACCAGGCAATGTAGTTGTGTACTACTACTCCCACTACTACTCTCGCTTTTTACTTCGGAGACCTTAAACACTAGACTCCGCTCCTCCGTCTGCACTACCGTGTGTTGTCGTCCCACTACAGGTGTACTGATCCAAGTACTTCTTTTTAAATTTGATCAAAAACGAGCAAAAGAAACTGAATACCTTCACGACAAGCGCGATCGAAGAAGGAGAAGAAACAACTACCACCGACTGTCCACCGCCGTTGCGCCCACCACCGTCGGAGAAGAACCAACGATCGTCCCCTGTCGTCATGTCGTCCTTCAAAGCGGCTCTGTCGTCGATCTTGCTCTTCTTGACCGGGTTCGTCCTCTTTCCGGGCGTCGTGTCCTTGGGAACGGCCCACCCTGTTCCGGCGGAGGGGCCTGTCCTGAAAGAGGGGCTGCTGCAGCTGTCCAGTAAGGATGAAGCCTTCTTGGGAGATTCTTCTCAAATCGCACAAGTACATTCTTCGGAGATTTGCAATGGAATGACTGTGGATATGGATCTAACGGCCAAGAATCAAAAGTTATTGTAAGAAAAAACTGCTCCCCGTCCTGCTTCTCAGACATTGTGTGTGGACACTATAAAGCAGCTACAACTACCACCATGAATGTATTGCTTTTGTCTTGCATGCAGCAGAAGCAAGAGCGGCAAGGAGCCTGCTCAGTGCAAGCAGTCTGCAATGCGTTTCAGCCTAAGTAGCACAACATCGGCAAGGCAGAAGCGTCTTTCATGCTCAATGCGCCGGCTACTACGTACCTAATCAGGCATGCGACCCCCTGGCACAAGACATACACACATCGGCACCGCAAGTCTTCCATTTTAGAACGGCTATGGCATTGGGGAAGCGCAGGGGAGAAGATGTTTCATTTTGAAATACTTGCGCCGACGTCGAGGCCTCTCTCACGGGCAAGAAGAGTATTTATTGTGGTAACGGATCCCCAAACTACTGCCTGCGGAAAGGCGCAAAAAACCTGGAAAAGGCTTAAGCGTTTTTCATTCGTGCGGCGCCAGTTTATGTAAGGAGCTAAATACGCCCACGGCGCGCCTGGGCAAAAGAAAACCAAATCAAAACATGAAGCAGCGACGCCGCCCTTGCTGTTGCTCTTTAGACGAAAATAGATGGGTTCGCGATGAAACCCTTCAAGCTGCGAAATGTCTTGCAGAGGTCTGCCCGCTTTTTGTTTTTAATGAGCCAGAAGCGAGAGCGGGAAGCGCAAGCAGCCACACGGCGTTGCGTGCTGTGTTAGGACGTGCCCAGGCTAAGGAAGCAGGTAGCCCCGTGGGCGCCATTTCGGGTAAAATGTGCGTAAGCTTTAACCCGAAGCAGAGAACCTTAGCGAAAAAGCACACGTGGGCGCATCGGGCGCATGTACTGCAAAACCCGCGTCGAGAAGCTCTGGCTGAGCTTCGGCGGGGATTGAAGTAAGACAGAGGTCGCCGCCGACGCACTCGCCGTTGGGGCCTTATTTTTTTTGTTTGGCAGCGCGCTGCCGCGCCCGCGTAAGTAGTAGTGCCGGCGCCAGTGTGCTGCCTGCCCTTCTTTTCTTGGCACGCCCCTGCCTTGGGGGAGGAGGCCCGCCCGAAAGCCCTGCCTGCGCCCCCCCCCGGGCCGGGTGTGTGTGCTGTAGCGTGAGGAAAACCTGAAGAGGGCGCGCAGGCTTTCACTTCGTGCAACCGGCAGGCGCCGGAAGCCTATGGTGGGGCCTGCGATAAAGCGCCTCGCGGATGATGTTCTTCCGGCTACCCCTGGAAAGTGGCTTTGATTCATTGTGTGGAGGCGCATTTTTTTCTGGAAGCAGTCCTCCAGGCCGCATGGTGGCGCGAAACAAAATGCAAAACCCGGAGGGCCGCTTGCTTGGCTTGTCACCCGGCGCCCGTAGCATGCAGAGCAGCGCCGGGCCAAATGCCCTTTCTAGTGGCAACGCCACCGGCGCACCAGCGCCCGTCCCCTTTTTTCCGTATCTGGCCGCGACCGCAGCTCCAGCCAGCAGCCTGCCCACAAGTGCAACCAACGTCCTGGCGCCGGCCGTGTGGCGTTTGCCCCGTTTTGTACAGTTGCCCGGGCGCCCGCGAAGGTTCCGGACGCACCCACGTCGGGCGTCGTTTGGGCGCCCACGCCCGTGTGGCCCCGGCCTTGCCAGCCTTTGTGTCACGCGCGGGCGCGAGGGCGTGCCCTGTGCTGATAATCCGGGCGGGCCCACCCGGGGAGCCCGGGTGGGAAGCTGGGCGCCGGCTTGCCGGCCGTGCGGTGCATACCATATATTTGTGGCGAAGCTGGGTGAGCCGCGCGAGCTCCAACCCCTGCATGCAGGCGCGCCCGTTCTTGATGTAAGTAGCTGCCACGCCGGTGCCTTACCGGTCTCTCTCCCTCTGCCTTACTTAGAGGGCCCGCATTCATTGGCGTGCGCGCGCCTCAAGAGACCCCGCCGTGCCGCTCAGTTATTGTGGAAGGCGGGCCTACCCGCCCCGCCCGCCCGGTGTCCGGCAGTCGGGTTCATTGGGATTCCGCTCCGCTTCACGCCGCAATCTCACTCACCGCCTGTTATTAGCTTTATGAGCTGCGGCGCCCGGAAGTATTTTCAAGCAATGACGCCCGCAGCCCCGCCCTCCGCCGGGTGAAAATTGGGGGTCCGTTACGCCAGCAGCCGACTTTCCTCGTCTATGTCTACGCCCCGCTGCCCGGGCCAGAGGTGTCCGCCTCGACCACTCATTTCGACGACTACCACTTTCGTACTTTTTGCTGCACGTTCCAGACGTCGTGGGTCGTGCCCGCAATGCAGGTAGGCAGCGCGGCTCTAACGGCGACTGCCGCGGGTGCCATCTTTCTGGGGAAGATGAGGGCGAGGTCGAAGAAGTTGGCTCGTTCCAGCTCCGGGTTGGTGAAGCCCCCTTATGGTTGCCTCAGGTGTGCCAATCTCAAGTGCAGCGACAGAAGGCGATCGGCCTGCGACGAGGCAATTGCACTTGCAATGCAATGCTCAACGCAGCGCAGTGGTGATCTGTGGCCAGCGCGTTGTCTGTTTAGTTTGCCTTCCGGCAATTTTTTCGCCGCATAACAATACTACTGCGCACGCGCTCGCACGCATAGGGAAGTAACCCACTTTCTGAGCCCGCTCCAGATGGCGGGCGCCTATTTGTATTGGTGCCGAGGGGCGTAGGAGATGAAGACGCAATGCAATGCTTGCAACTGGTGCATGTTGGCCACAGATCAGGAGCACTTTCGCGATTGCCACGTCTGAGCAAATCATATGTGGCCGGCGGCCCAGTCTTTTCTGAAGCTGGGGTCTTCTGAACGGGTACAGGAGCAGCGCAAACATAAGTAGTTAATAGTGTACAACTACAAATAGTGCAAAGAGAAAGAGCTACTTTTTGCACTATCGGGCCCATGAGGTGAGTCCGCCTCGTTTTTTTTTGTCAAGCAGCCACAAGAAGCCTCAGTGTACTTTTCTGAGGAAGCACTTTATTTATGATCGAGCGAGTACGAGTTTTGAATATACTGAAAACGTCAACACTTTCCGTTGAAGCGAAGTTATCTTTCCCCCCGTCTTTGGCGATTTCTATCTTCAATGACCATGTCGATCCGGACGCCCACGCCATGAATTTCGGAGCTGCAGCTTTATGGTTTGTTTTACATATCGGCAGGGGAGCGGTGCATTTCGGTGGCGCCATGATTTATTTTTGACATAGATGAAGACCAGCAAGAGCAGCTGCACCTGACTCGGGCGACGGCGCAGCCAGAAGATGGCGTGTCTCTCTGAGCGTTGTGCTGCCGCTGTGTTGGGGCTAAAACTTAAATACGGGTAAGTATATATCCAAACACAATGATCTTCAAAATATATAGTTAGGAAATAACTACAGTTACTACAGGAGCACACAGCGAAGTTTTTATCTTGTATTTTCGTTCTCACACTCACCAGGTAAATACTTATATTATACTTTAACTAAAATCGATGCCGTCCGGCCTTTGCATCCGATCGCAGTCTCTGAGTCGTTGTAGCGAGATAAAAAGTACCAGCTACGAAGAACTGCATCACATCCAATTTTGTCCACTGGCCCTGCTCAGGATTTCGAGTTGCTGTTCATGTTCTCTGACACATGAAGCCGCCGCAGGCCCCAAACACCAAGGAGGCCCGGCAAAATCATTCTTCTTCGCCAGTTCGGCCCCAGCTACGCCGGGGTGCGGGTATTATTTAAAAATGGCCGGCCCCCTTACGCGTGTAAACCTTGGGCCGTGAGGCTCCGGCGGTGCGAAAATATCGAAAAAAAAAAAGGCGCCGCCGCAATACTATTTTTGAGACGGCCGCATGTTTTTAGCGCTACAGTGACCAAAGAACCAGCATCAGACCCAGAACATAAACGAAAACGCCCAAGCTCTTTGAAGAAGGTAACTGCCCACGGAGCAAGTAGTCAAAAGAGTCACTGTGACAGCGAGGAACTACAAGGGGCCAAAGAGATGATGAGCGAGGAGGTTTCTTGTTGATCATGATAACCTCCAGAAGCGGGTTGTATCTGTATGCTGCTAGCTGTTGCAAGTACTGTCTAAGTCACTGTAAGGTCCTTCAGAAAATGTGCAAGTGCTGTATGATTTTTTAAAATGCATGTTTGCGCAGTTGCGCAGTTGTTGTCTTCAGGAGCGTCTTAGACGGCATCCTCACAGAGCTGTTCATGATCTCGGAGCCGCGCATGTGTATTCTGGCTCTCTTTCAAATTCAATCGTCGCTTGTTCAACAAGTCGGTTCTACTTACTTGACAAGTGGTCGGAGGCTCTACTTACTCGACTCTCTTCCCCAAAGTAAAAAGTTGTTCGTTTGATTCGGTTTTCGTCGTCATGATCTGGACATAGATCATCTCACGGCATTGCCACTGCGGGGAGGACAACTCGAGTTTTGCCGATCATCACCGGGGGTTCGACGAGAAAAATCCAACAGCCCGTAGTAGATTGATAGATTAAAAAATCTGGGTCCTCGTTCTATTCGTTCCGATCAAGTTGATGAAGTATTTTACTCTTCGTGGGACATCGTTCGAAAGTAGTACAAATTCCGGAGGTCGATGTCCTCTACTTTGTCGCACCAGTCGCAGGACTTTTGCTCAAGATGAACAAGAAAGCGTCGGTCGTGCTTAAAAATATTGGGAGAAAGAACACAACGTCGTTGTTCTGTTGGAACTACATACAATAACAATGACCAGAATTTTTATATCTTCATCTTGAAATTCAAATTTTCACCACGCGGCGGTCGTGCGCCAGACCATGATCATGGTCTATACCAGTGCCGCGGTTTTTTCTTTCGACTAAAGTATAGTAATCTTCTTTGTTCCACCCTGCGACATCTAGTCCTTGAAGATCCACCTATTGTGTCTTGATTTCGGAGATATCTACGTATCATCACATAAAATTTATCTTTATGTGTCTACTGAATATTTCATCCTGCACGACCTGTGCCTGTACTTACTACTACACCTACTCAACGGAAGCAACCAACAAGAACAATTACGGGTACTAGTAGTACACCCACTTCTCCGCGGCCTCGGCTTGGTGTGCGACTTCTTCGGAGCACCAGTGCAGCATGAGTTCTTCGATAGTTGTGCATGATCTACTTGCTTCGAAAGCGCAACGACGCACCAGGCGATTTGTAAATTGGTAGTTCACTTCACAACAGTCGTCGCCCAGCACAACATACACTAGAAGGTCAAGGTCGTCCCCAGCGAGGACTAGATTACCTCCAACACCACTATGAAGCGGCGGTCGAAGACCATGGGGGACCTGGGCCGGTCCAAAACCTCGAGCAGTGGCGCGGAGCTGGGCGGGGGTGCAGCTACGACTGGTGGAGCAGCCGCCCACCAGATCCTTGGCGACGCAAAAAAAGGCACGAGCACCAGCACTCGTCCAGTATCCTGTGCAAAAGTATCGTACTCGTATAAATGCAAGTCTTGCACTTACAAATCTTGTTCCCAAGGCAAATCAGCATGACAAATTATATTTCTCATGCTGAGTAAATTTGTATATGCATTTATACGAGTACGATACTTTTGCACTTCATATCCAGACTCTTCGGGCAACAAGGTCACGCTGCCTGATATGGAGTTCTCAAACGTTACATTCTCAACTGTTACATGCTTTGTCATGCAAAATGACCATGAGCCACCAGACGATCAAGCTGCGTCGCATGACAAATTCTCGGAGGGCTAAACAGTGTGTAAATCCGCACCAGATCTGTCATGCAAGACGCGCAAGCTCTCCCTTTCAGTTTTGCCATTCTTGCATCACAAATTCATGTAACAGTTGAGGATGTAACAGCTGAGAACGCCATGCCTGAGATCCGGATCCTGCCTGGTATCCGGGAGCGCATGCAGTATCCAGACGGACACCCGCGAGTAAGTATGAACGATGAAGACACCATGGACGCCTTTCGCCGGACCTTGAATCGCTTGGAAAAGTCGAATATGCAATGCAAAAGTATCGTACTAGTAGTAATTGAATTACAAATTGTCTCAGCATGACAAATAGAAATTTGTCATGCTGATTTGCCGGGAGAACGAGATTTGTAATGCAAGATTTGCATATTAATTCATTTTCATGCGTTACGAGTGCGATACTTTTGCACAGGATATCAAAGTCCGTGTGCGAGGAGCTCGAAGCACATGCCAAGAAGAAAATCACCAAACGGAGTTTCAGCACCATGGGCGGACAATCGACAGGTGGAACGTTTTCACCCTCTCCGCTGGCGAGTCCCGGGGGCGGTCAGCACATGAGCCGGGCGCACACAACCGCTAACTTCATGACGACGGGGAAAACAAGCACCAGCAGTGCATCAAATACAAATGCTGGAGCAGGTGCAGGACCAGCGACAGAGGCAACCATGTCTTCAACCTTCGCGCCGACGTCCAGCAGTACGACCCTCGGCGCAACGGACGTCAGTGCAGCTCCTCCAGCGGGAGCAGCTTTTAATACAAATAGTACCGGGGGGAGCAATTTTAATGTAGCGGCCTCTGCAACGTCGACAGCATCGAGCTTTCCGGCCTTCCGTACGACGGTAGCCTCGGATTTTCTAAACAACCCGGAAATTTTCGAGGGCTACAAAAAGGATCTGGACTTTCCGAAGAACGAAAAGGTAAATCACAACGCCGACTATACCAACGACCGGGCGCGCTACCTGATGCTGATATCCAGGAAAAAAACATTGTAGGTGTAACTTTCTTGGAGGATTAGCATGACAAATATCTCTCGCATGACAGCAAAAAACTGCCATGCGCAGATAGTACCGGAAAACGCCGTTGAATGGGCCCTGCGATGCACGCCAAGCATGACAGACGCAATCATCTTGCATGTTGCGCATCACAAATTTACTCCCGCAGAGGGAGCGAAAGAGCACGGCCCGAGCGAGTGAAACTGTCTCGATTTGCGTGAAAGGGTCCCGAAAATGAAACGCGCAGCGCTCCCCGGAATCGATTCAAATAAAACGCGAACGCCTGCCGGGGCGGTTGGCAAAAGAAAGACAGGGAAGCGGCCAGAGGCCGGCGCCCTGGGGACGGCGACGGCCCTCCCGGCGCCTGCGCTCCCAGACCGTGACAAATAGCAGGCAAAGTGGCCGCCGCAGCCGGCTCTATCAATCTTCCTTGTGCCCGTGCCGCGGCCGCTGCGTAGTTGTGTTGCTCTGAGTTTCATTTCGCGCCGCCCCGCGGGAATTTGCGTGGCCCTGGGCGAGCGGGCCGGACGCCCGTGGTAGAGGGCGCCGAGCCTCCGCGCCCTTGCCTGGTCGCTGCGCCTTTGCCAACCAGATCGGGCCCCAGTCGCGGTAAATTATAAAAATTCAGGGCGTGACTTTAAAAAATCCCGCAGAGGACTTGCGCTGCGAAAAAAAATTTGGCGCGGATGGTGGGAGTTTCTGCAATTTCCGCGCTGCCTATCGTCCTGCTTGGTTTCCGGGCGTGCCTTTGGGCGTGGTGGGAGGGCCTTTGGGATGGTCCGCGTTTTGTTTGGGGTATGCCGGGCCCTGCGGTGTCCTGCGTTTCTTATCCTGTGGGATTCTTCCGCGCCCGGTGTGGGGTTAGTTGTTGCCGGCCGCCGGCCGACCGGCTTTTCTTCCGGGATTTGGTCAGGCAGACAGGCCCGGGCGAATCCCCGCCCTAATTGCAGACTAAAAATTTGCTAAATTGAACCGGCGCCCGGGCCCCGGCAGGCTTTGGGGTTTTCCGTGTTTTCAAGGCCCAGCGCAGTCGCGCGGCCCGCTCTTCTCCGGGTTTCCAGCTTTGGGGGCAGGGCCGCACGTTCGGCGGCCTGCCGGACAGCGGGCAAGGCGCCCGTCTTGCGGGTATTTTTTGGCACGGGCCTGTTGGTTTGTCTCTGTGGGGTCCGGCTGGGGCATTTCGGCCCTTGCCGGGGCAGGGTTCCGAGTCCGCTAAATTAGTCCGCTAACTGGGTCACAAATTTTCAGAAAAGTGCCCAGAACGCTGTTGCTAATCTGCCCTTTAATAGTCTGCTAAAATTTTGGAGGTGTCTGCTAACCTGCCCCGCTAACCCGACTGCTAATTGTCATCTAATTGGGGCCTCGGGTCTGCTAGCGGGGGAAAGTAGGGAAAACCAATGCGATTTCGCTGGTGTTCAGGCAGTGTCCGAACATCAGGGAAATCGCATTGGTTTTTTGCCTTGCTCAGTTCGGGGGGGCCCAGTTAGCAGACATATTAGCAGACACTTTTTCGGAAGCCGAAAAAAATTAGAACCCAATTAAAGGGCCGATTAGCAGAGGGGGTTTTGAAATTCCCTGAGGCGTTTAGCAGACTCACGCAGGGGGGTCGGAGGGGGTGAATTAGCAGACAAATTAGCAGGCCTGCCGTCGGGGTTGGGCCTCATGTGGTCGAGATTGGGTTATCATGATCGGGCGCGCGGGTCGTCGGTCGTGTTCTCGCTGGCCGGCTTTGGGGGTTCGTTTTTCTTCGTTGCCTGAATTGCGCCGAGCGAAATGATTGCACCTCGTCGCCCGTCCTCGTTGGTAAGTTTCTTTCTGCCGTGTTTGCGGCGAAAGTTTCCGGCTTTGGGGGATTTGCAGATTAGCAATTTTTTAGCCTGCAATTAACATCATTAGGTCGCCCGGGCCTGTCTTCCTGAATTTGGAACGCGGAGCCGGGTACTTTTACGACAAAAAACTGCATGGATTACGACAAGAATTTTGAAAAAGTTTCAAAAAATTCTAAAAAAACTGCCGCTGGAAAAACATGAGGAAAATCGAAGCCCTATGGTCCGGCTTTCTGCCGTTTTTATTTTTTTCGTAATTTCGGCAGACCTTTAATTTTAAAAGATCAGCTGCAATTTTTATTGCACCTGATGCACGTACGAAACGCAGGGAAACGACGCAAAAAACCCGGAGGGTGGTGCTGTCGCTTCGCGTGATCCAGCCCGTGACCCACCGCCCAGAGCCGGCGCGTTTGGCGCGATGGGTCGCAGTTCTTATCTCGATGAGCCGCCCGGCTTGTTCTTCTCCCTTTCGGGGCTCCCATTTTTCGCCCTCGGCTGTGTTTTCCCCTGTGTGTGGGCTTTCGCGGCCCATGACTCGGCTCGGGATCTTTTGCGACCGTGTTTCGCCGCCTTGGTAATTTTTAAAATCTAATCCGGGCCCCTTGGCGGTCGATCTGGTTGGCCTTTGCCGTGGTTGGCGCGCTGCCCTGCGTTGCATTTCGCGCCGCCCCGCGGGAATTCGTCTGGCCCTGGGCGAGCGGGCCGGGCGCCAGTGGTAGGGGGCGCCGAGTCTCCGCGCCCTGGTCTGGCCGCTGTGTCCTTGCGTTCGTTGGTTGGTTCGTGTTTCTGAGTTGCATGTCGCGCCGCCCCGCGGGAATTTGCCTGGCCATAGGCGAGCGGGCCGGGCGCCAGTGGTAGACTAGAGGGCGCCGAGTTTCCGTGCCCTCGCTCGCCTGGCCGCTGCGTCTTACTTTTCGCTGGGTGGTTCGTATGTAGTGAAGTCACCAAACGGCTCCGCGAAAAACGAACGGGGAGTGGTCATATACCGTGAAAAACGAACGCAGGCTTTCAATCGGCAGAAAGTGGCTTTGAACATAAAGAGTTTCCGTTTGTCAATCGGCTCTGGCTGACCTGGCACCGAATCCATCGCCGCCGGCCCGGCGGATTCCATCGGTCGCCGATCTAAAAAACGACGCAGAGGAGCCAGCAAAAGGGGCGCCATTCTGAGGCGCCTGGCGCACCTAATTCCGCCGATTTGGGGCGCCCAATAAGGGGCGCCGAAAAAGTGCGAAGATGGCAAAGGCTTCGGATCCGCGTGCTATGTGCACCATTTTTGGCTCCTTTTCGAGGTCGCAGAGACGGCTAACAAGGTCGAGCACTTGTAATGTGGAGAGCAATCCAAGGCGCGCGACTTTTCAACAAAAAAAACAAACAAAAGCGGAAAGCTCGCCAAAATCTTAAAGCCAATTCGCATGCTATGGGCCCGATTTGGGGCGCCCAGGGGGCCGGGCTTGGTAGGGGCCCTTGCGTGGCTATAGCACGCGGGAAAGCGTTTCGATTCAGGGGGCGGCGGGGGCATGGCTTTTCCACAAAAAAAACCAAAGGACGCAAACCCCGCCAAAAGCAGCAGGCCAGCCCGCATGCTATGGGCCCGATTTCGGGGGCCCAGAGGGCCGACCCTGGCGGAGGCCCTTGTGGGGCCATAGCATGTGGGAAAGCGTTTCTCCTCTGAAAAGAGCAAAAAGACCCGGCGTCGTCCAGTCTGTTAGAAAAAACCCGCGCGACCTCACTACCCCCGCCTCGGCGGCTATATTTGGCAGCCCTGAGCTGCATGCCGCGCCGCCCCGCGGGAAAGAAGTTGCCTTGTCATGTCGTATTCGGTCGAGCCGAAGACGAGGCGCAAAAGAATCGAAATGGTGGCGCCCAATTACGAAAGGCCGGAAAAGTGCACCAAAATAGTGCGGCCAGGGTTTCTCGCGTGATTTCGCGCCAGCTGCTTCGGTTTCGATCGGCCCCGGGCACGTCAGTGCCATGCCCGAAGTAAGGTTTGCGCCGGTTTAGCCAATGACGAACGTCGAGAGACAAAGGAGAAAGGCTTGAGCGCTACAACCCGCGCACTCGCTTGCCGCCTTCTTCGCGCGCGGGCGATGGACTGCGCCCCATTTCGACACGCTTGCGCCTTTATTAGGCCTAGCGAGCGCGTGTTGGCCAGCTGTTTCGCTACCGCTCCAACATGGGGCACCGGTGTAGTTTGGATCGCAATGCAAGCGCATTCCGCTGCTTTTTGCGCTGTTAGGGCGTTTTTTCTGCCCCTTCGACGCTTGCTAATAGACTTGGCGAGACCCTTGCGCTTTTGGCTCGTTTGATTATCAGCCGCGCCGGCTTCCCTTGTTTTTCGCCGCTTAATGATGAAAGGCAGGACAAGTGCAGCAACATGGTGCGCCTGAAGATTTTTCGCGGGCGTGATTTCGCGCCAGAAGCTTTGGCTACGGTTCTGGATACGCCAGCACCAGGCCCGGCCTTATTTAAAAAGCCCGGCGAATATCCGCGGAGCTTTTTCGTCGTGTTCTCTATGATTTGCAGCGTTTTTTGTGGTTTTTGCCATCGTTTTGACGTTTTTGATCTGATTTCTGCACCATTTTGCGCGTTTTGAAGCAAAGAAGTCCGCTTTCGGGGTCATTTTGCACCGTTTCGCAAACTATTGACGCAATTTGCGCGCATTTTCATCCATTTGCACCAAAAAAAGGCAAGCTTTGCGCGTTTTCGTGCTTTTTGATTCGCTTTTGCGGCCATTTTGCTGCTTTTGTTATTGTACTAAGCCAAAACAGTGCCACTTTTGCCCGTTTGCTGTGCTACTGGCTTCATTTGTTGCGTTTTTGACTAATTTGATGCGTTTTCGGCGTCATTTTGCACGATTTCGCATGCTATTGACCTAATTTGCGCGCATTTTGCCCCATTTGATGCACAAAAACGCGAGCCCGAGCCGCGACAATTTGCGAAATCCCGGCGAATATTCGCGGACTTTTTCTCGTCGCATTTTCCCCAATTTGGAGCGTTTTTTGTGGCTTTTGCCATCGTTTTGTCTTTTTTGCATCGATTTTTGCACCATTTTGCGCGTTTTGGAACGACAAAAATTCAGCGATTTTCGGTTCGTGTCTTGCATGTTTCGTAACATAATTTATAAGATTTACACTAACAACTTTTTTTTCTTGGATAGCTGAAGCGGCGGAAACAGTTGTTACTCAAGAAGCGGCAGCAGCTTTTGCTCAAGCAGAATGCGCATCACAAGTACACCACGGTGGAAGATGTGGAGGCTGCAGTGCGCCTGGAGTCGGACGAGTTCCACGCCTCAGTAGACGCGCAGGAAGAAGAGATCCAGGGGGGCAAGGGAAGTAGCGGCAGTCCGCGAGCTATCGAAAGGAAAAATCCCCCCTCCCCATATCGAAAACGAAATTTGTGATGCTGTATTTGAGGTCACAAATCAGATTTGTCTTGCTGGCGAGGACTGCAGGCCCATATCAGGCCTGAGTAGACAAGTTTTGGCCTAGGCGCTTAGCATGGCAGACGTCTACGCAGTAGGAGCAACAGCATGACAAACCGCCTGTAGAATGTGGCGGAGCCTGTAGACTTGCCTTCATGCAATACAGCGACGATTTGTGGTCTCAAATCTGCATCACAAATTTTCAGAAGTGTCCCGGTTTGGTATGGGGAGGGGGGATTTTTCCTCACAATACGAACAAAGGGCTCCCCTGGAGGCGGTGGGAGTAGAACACCAAATAGCCCGGGTGGCGGAGGTCAGAAAGACGCGATTCCGGAAATTCTGCCCATTTCCCCCAAGGAGGAGAAGGTGCTGCTCGTGGTTTTTACATGTAGTTATTACATAGATGCCTCACTTCACTCATGCTCGAGTCGTGTTTTTACCACGTGATCCTAATCCTATGTCTACGTCAAGCGTGCCGAGTTGTACCTACGTAAAAATTTGTTGCACACAGACTGGTCGTGATCCAGCGCAAGTAGTTGTAGTTGCACTGCAAAAATAAAGAGACCGCACGAGCCTTGTTTATTTCGACAAAATGAAAATTGTAAAACAGGTTCAATCTGTCGGGCAATCGCAGCAGGAGGCCGCGCGCGCGCTGCTGCGCGACCAGCCGCAGGCCTTTGGGCTGGCGTTGAGCAACATGGCAAAGGAGCTGAGGCGCATCGACATCGCGAATCTGCGGGAACTTCTGCCGGCCTTTGTGGTGACCGAGCAAGTAGTCAACGAAACGACAATATGCACTGCAAATATGTCTGGGTCTGGAAGGATGCAACTTGTGATGCTACCTTTGGACTCTACATAAAATCTGTATTGCATGAACAGCAAAAGAGGCGCAATTTGTGCTATGCCGAGAGGGCATTTCTCATGCGGTATGAGAATCAGAGAGCCCTCACAGAATCTCCGCAGCTCGGGCATGCATCACAGCCTCCCTGGGTCATGGAAAATCTGCATGACAAACTTCTGCATTCTTCCAGACTCAGACATTTTTGCGAATCATAGACAAAGTCTTTCGAGAACAAGATCGATCCGCAATTTTCGCCGCCTGTGCAGCATCGGGAAACAACCGTGGTTGAATCACACAATCATGAAAAGATGCGGAGCAGCAAGGTTGCAACGTTCCGGGCGCCGGCGAAGAAGCGAGAGTTTTTTAAGGTATAATACACAGTCTCTAACTTAAACTTGAAGGTTATCTTTCTTCCATAGCGTAAGCGTATCCCATTTTTGCATCGAAGATGAGAATAAAAGTGAATGAAACAAATAAAATCACTATAAGTCGATTCATTTTTCTCCCGAATCCCTGTGTTTAGCAATGGGTATTCTGGCCACCCTACTTTGTACTTTGCTACTTTCCCAATCGCGCGGCTAGCACAACTGGAAGTGCGCTCGGCTGGGCTCTCTGACCACGCGTGTGTGGCGGAGGCTCCTCGGCTCTGCGGCACACCACCAAGTGGTCCCTCCAGAACGGAAGGAAGGAGGTTCAGGGTTGTGCTGGGAACAACGCAACAGTTCCCAGGCACTAGCCTGGGAGAGCGGCCAGGAGATCCATTCAAAAGCTCTACCATCCAAGCGGCTTCGCCCGCAGGCGGCTTCGACCGCGGACGGTCTGGCGGGTTCTGGCTGAGAGGTCCGGGTTCGAATCCCGGAACGCGCGCAATTTTTGCTTTCGCCTTGGGTTGTTGTTCTTCTGACGAGAACTACAAGGACGGCGTCGTCCCGTCTGAGTGCGCTCGCGCGCGCTGCGCAATGGTTAAAATTGCTTCTTTCTCGTCCTCCCATGCCGGTCGGACGCGGACGAGTGTTGATATTTATCCTTTCGGCACGACGTGGACGGGTTGGTCACAAGTACTTGTTGTGCATACAGCCCAGCAGCCCGGACTCTGTGTCGGCCCGTCGTGGAACAAGGATCAAGTACGCGGCAGCTCCACGACACTTTCTTACTTATACACGACGTAGTAGTAAAAATACACTATCCAAACCAGGGCGCCACCGCTCCGCCGGAGTCACTTCTGCTATTCCCCAACCTTCGCGACGTTTCGCTTCCAGACATGCGGCTGCCCAACGGTTCCTTTCTCGCGAGGCTGCTCAAGCTCGTGGCGCTATGCATTGCAAAAATGTCTGGGTCTGGAAGGTTGGAACTTGTCATGCTAAATCTGAATCGCGCAAAAATCTGTGTTGCATGATTACCAAATGCTGCCCACTTTTGATCTAGTTGAGAGGCAGTTTCTCATGCAGGATAGGCATGATAGTGATCTCACAGAATCTGCCATGCTAGGTCCTCCATTACAGATCATATGGGTCATGGAAAACCTGCATGACAAGTCGAGCAAAGTTTCAGACCCAGACACTTTTGCATTTGATAGGCCCGCAACGAGGGCAATTCGCCGTTGCTGAACTTGACGCTGGACGGAAACCAGTTGGATTTCGAAAACATCCGGTTCACGCTGGAATCAAACAAGGAGAACCTTTTGCACAAGCACAGCAGCGGCGGAAAGATGATAAAAAAAGCTGCCAGTGGGATTGGGAACAGCTACAAGATGAACGGTAGTGCAATAGCCGACCACGAGGCAGAAATGTTTATACAGCCGTCCGGCAACAAGCACGCGCTTTCCGATTACCCGCCCGACAAGCAGACGTCGCGGATATACGAAGATTCACAGAAGATTTTGAAGGACCACGAGAAAGACATTGCGGAAATTAGCGGGAGGTCCATGCGGAGTTGGCAGAAGCACCACTTACACTTCCAGAACCTGCAGCAGCACCACCCCCAGCACCTCCCGCACACTCCGATTACGCCGATGACGCCGCAGGTCGAAGGCGGAGCTGGAAGTTCATCTTCTCACGGGCGTCACCAGAAAGGCGATAGCTTCTCCAGCACTGCCACCAGTTCCATGCACAACACCACGCAGTCGTCCTTCTCCCTGCTCCACAATCGGCCGCCTTCCCCGATACGACGACAACCCCGGGACGAACTCGCCAACATCGCGCGCCGCAACATCCTATGCACTGCAAAAGTATCGTACTAGTATAGATTGCATTACAAATTTTCCCAAGAACAAAGATGCACTTTGTCCTGCTCTTTCAGGTAGAAAGTTGGATTTGTCATGCATATCTGCAATTAGTACGAATGCGATACTTTTGCACAGGATACATCCGCATCCGCATGGGGGCGAGCGCGGGAAAGGAGACAAAATCTACCACCCGCGAGGAAGACGAGGCGCAGGCGGAGGAGATGCTGTATCACATCGCGAACGCGAGCCACATCCAGTTCTACCCCGACTTGACCACCAGCTGTCTGGATCTGGTAAAGCTGTACGACAAGCTGAAGTACCTCTCCCTGAAGCGCTGCAACATCGTATGACAGTGCACAACTCCCCCTTCCCCTCATTTGTATGGCATGAACAGCAATACAAGCGCCAGCGAGAATGCAGGTTTTGCATGACAAATTTGCACCGGATTGTCGCGCTATTTGGGCTGCCAGAACTTCTCATGCAAACAGTGCTAAGAGTCACACTCACAGCCTGCTGAATTGGGCACTTTGCATGACAAATGAGGGGGAGGGGGAGTTGTGCACATTCACACATCGACGAGCAGGTCGTGAAAAGGTTGATCCTGCCCTACCAGTCGATTGAGGTGCTGCTGCTCGACGAAAACCCGCTGCTAGACATGGGGTTGCTTTACTTGATGAAGGCCAACCCGCTGGTGTTCGGCCACTATCCACTGCAACTATGTCTGGCTCTGGAAGATTGCCAGGTCTGTCATGCATATTTTGCATGCCCCATGATGCCTGAGATGCATGACCTAGCATCACAGATTTTTTGAGGGCTTGCGCATGCTATACCGCATGAGAAATTATGCCCTCTACTCTCTCTCTCTCTCCGTAGCACAAACTGGGCTCCTGTTGCTGGTTATGCAATACAGATTTTTCTAGAATCCAAAAACAGCATCACAAAGTGCAACCTTCCAGACACATCCAGGGATATTTGCATTTGGTAGCCACCTTCCCCGCCCCATTTTGAAGATCATCTACGGGTACGAGGGGTCGGTATCCTCTGCAAAAGTATCTGATACTCGTATTGCAATCATGCATTACAAATCTTTTTCTTAAGGTAAATCCACATTACAAATATCATGCGTCATGCTGACGAAATTTGTAATGCATTTATACGAGTACGATGCTTTTGCATCTCATACTCGGAGGCGGATAGCGATCCATTGGAGGATATCCTGTGTAAAAACGTCCCCATAGTACCAGAGTTGTGATGCAGGTTAGCAAATACAGCAACATTTGGAATGCGCGCCCGCATGACACCAGGCATTTCCAGTCGCGTTTTGGAATTTGTAATGCTGTGAGAAGGAAGATAGGAGAATGGCTTTGTTATGCGGCTGTGCTTGCTACCTTGTAGTACAATACAGAGAGAAACTTGTCATGCGTCATCCCCAAAACTTCTGGATTTCTGTTGCTGAGTTCCCAACTTGACTCTGGGCTCGTGGGGACGTTTTTGCTCAGCATAGAGGAAACCGAAGTCGAGTCCGCGTTCGATTTTGGCGAGTTTTTGGCTGTATCCTGTGCAAAAGTTTCGTACTCGTATTGCAATCATGCATTACATTTTTTTTTTCTGAAAGCAAATCCGCATTACAAATTTCATTTCTCATGCTGAGGAAATTTGTAATGCATTGGATTGGTATGAATACGATACTTTTGCAATTCATAGGCCGATTTGGGCGAGGACTTTCTGAACACGGACTTCATCAACGGCGGCGTCAAGGAGGAAAAGGACGACCTGGCAGCGTCGGTGACAGAAAAACTGCGGGCGAGTAGGGTCGTGGACGAAGAGCAGATTGCTGATCATCGGGAAATAGATGTTGCAAACAAGGAAATATTAGACAACTGCTCATCATCCCATGTTGATATTTCACAAGGAGCTGCAGCTGCACCAACCGGAAATATCAAAAATGTTGCTGCCACAGGTTCATCTTCAACTGGTGCAGGACCTCCTGCGACTCTGAAAAGCAGTTTGAAAACGTCTTCCTCCTCAACATCCACATCTAAACAGCAACAACAGGGCCCTACAGCTTCCTCCTCCGAACCACCTGTAGCATCGTCCAACAACTACTATAATCCCCCTCCAAAGTCCCCGCTGCACTCGCTATCCCTACGAAAAACCGGACTCTGCGCCGGGAATCTGCTCTCGCTGCTGTTTATGAACTGCAAAAGTATCGTACTCGTATAAATGCATCACAAATTTCCTCAGCGTGAGAAATAGAATTTGTAGTGCTGATTTGCCTTGGGAACAAAATTTGTCATGCAAGACTTGCATTTATATGAGTACGATAGTTTTGCACTGGATGCTGTTTCAGTCCAGTTCGGCGAAATTGAAACAGCTGGATTTGAGCCGCAACCCGTCGCTGACTGTTTCCTACCTCGAGTCGAACACCCAGCCAGCGCTATCCTGAGCGAAAACGCCCGCGCCCCAGAGTCAAGTTGGGAAATCTGCTAGACAAATCGACCAGCTTTAGTTGTTGCGCATGACAGGTCTCCACCTGCAGTGTAAGTAGTGACGTTTCGCAAGGGAAGCCGCGTTGGAAAGCCGTTTTCTCATCCTAGTTACAGCATTACAAATGCCAAAACACGACGACTAGAAATGCCTCCCATGGAGATGCGCATTACAAATCGACTCCAGTCATTGCGCATTTGCATGACAGCTCTGGGGAGGTGGGGACGCTTTTACATAGGATACGCGCCGGCGTTGGAGGAGCTGTGGGTGGAGGAGTGCAATCTGTCGCTGGAGCAGGTGAAGGTTCTGATCCGGCCCTTCATGACGTCGCTGCAAAAGTTCCACTGCATATGCATTGCAAATATGTCTGGGTCTGGAAAGGTTGAACTTGTATTGCTTGTCCAGGTGGACTCCAGAAAAATCTGTATTGCATAAAGGCAACATAAAGCGCCACAGTCTCGCCATGAAAAAGCGCAGTTTGTAATGCGCACTGAGTATGTAAAACTAAAAGCGGATGAAAAATTTGTCATGCAGTATTGCACCCAAAGGCGCTCTCACTCATGACCATTCAGCATTACAGATTTCCAGACCCAAACACTTTTGCAATTGATACTGCAGCAAGCAGTTCGATTTGTTCGAGGAGGGGGAGAAGAAAAAACCGAAGCCGCGTATGAGCGTGCATAAGTAACTCCCTTTTCCCCTCATTTGTATCGCATCCACAGCACTACAAACACCAGCACACGTGTATGCTGCGCATGACAAGTTTGATATGCACGGAAGATGGTAGTGCTATTTGGGCTTCCGCTTCCAGGATTTGTCATGCAAACAGTGCTTCAAGGCAGAAGCTGGATTTGGGATTTTGCATGACAAATGAGGGGGAGAGGGGATTGTGCGTTGTCATACCGCGAGGCATGAACACACTACGGGACGAGATGTCCCGCATTGTTTTCCGCAACATTTGTTTTTTCGACAATGTTATGCGTTGCAAATATGTCTGGGTCTGGAAGAATGAAGCCTGTCATGCGAAAGCTGGATCACGAGAAAGTCTGTGTTGCATGAACTCCAACAGTTACCCAATTCTCGCTAGACAAAAGGGGAATTTCTCATGCGGAAGAGGCATGAGGAAGGTCTGAAAAAATGTGTGATGCGTCTGTCTGCATTAGCATTACAGACGATCCGTGTGGATCGCGAGATGCATCACAAATCTTGCAACTTTCCAGACCCAGACACTTTTGCATTTGATAAACGTGAAGAACATACCGGAGAACTTGTCCTACATTGCGTTCAAACAACTCGATTTGGAAACGAAGAACCTGATCGACTTGGTGTGGAATTTACTCCGGGACAAGATCGAGATTGACCTGGCGTTCAACCCGCTGTTGGGGTTGACCGGGCTCTCTTTGCTGTTGCTCACCCTCCGGTCCTCCAAGCAGGCAGGGCTGGAGCAATTACGAAAAATGAACTCTTCCAGAGGATTGCAGCACAGCAGCACAACGCTAGGGGAGATCTTGGCCGCAGGGGAGGTACTAGAGCAGAACAGCGAAAACAAGAACCCTGCTGCAGACGAAAGCGCAAACGCGGACAAAACGCAAACGAAGCCGGTTGTACCGAGCTCCATTTTGGGTCTGGACAAATCCAACACGGTGGACATGCTGGAGGTCGGCGATGACAACGATGACGAGAACAGCAAGTCGAAACTTCCGCGAGAAGAGTACCCCAATTCCCGGCGCAATAACCGGCAGAAACCCTTCCACCAGGTCGGGGACCCGACGGAAACGAACAAAAGACGGAGGAAGTTCAAGCAGCTGATCATTCGGTATGAGGGGTGCGTTTACCCAAGAGTTTTGTCGGCGAAACAGTGGGGAAACCTAAACGCCATTGTCACGGTATCCTGAGTAAAAACGTACCCACACCAGAGTTGTAATGCAAATCTACATGCTGAAAATGTTTCTCATGCGGAGCTCCATGAGAAGCATTTTCTAGTCGTGTTTTGCAATTTGTCATGCTCCAATCAGCATGGTGCGCTAGATCTGTGATGCTGCTGAGCTAGCTCAAACAGCACTACACTACGAATCCAAATTTGTCATGCAAAACAGCCAAAACTTGTGGATTTGTCTAGCCGATTCCCCATCTTGACTCTGGTGTGGGTACGTTTTTACTCAGGACACACGGAACTGAAGGAAGACTTCGGTATCACGGTGACGCATATGAGAGTGCATAACTCCCCCTCCCCCTCATTGTTGTAATGCAAAAGCCCAAACTTAGTTGCTGCCTTGTAGCACTTTTTGCATGACAAATTCTGAAATCCCAAACAGTACTACAATCGGCGCATAAACTTGTCATGCTCAGGCTCCACGTATCAGTAGTACTTATCTTGCTGTTTGCATTGCTGTTCACGCCGTACAAATGAGGGGGAGGGGGAGTCGTGCACTCTCATAACACACGATGTCGAAAAGAAGGAGGGGGTCTTGAGTCAGAAGACGGTGATGCTGCCGCCGATAGAAGGGGGAGGAGATGTGGTGATTGAAGAGTAGCTGGGCGGTTTATCTTCTTGTTAAAAAACGTACTGCAAGACGTTGTACGTGTACGATTAAAAAGCAAACCGGTACAACTTTACTGGTATTAAAGCTTCTACTAGATGTTTCGAATTCCATGTTTAGCGAAATTTTATGTTTCGAATTCCATTTATTTTAGCAACAGAAAGAATCAATACGCTATGATGTTTCGAATTCCATTTCCATTTGAGAATAAACGACGTAAAGAAAAAGATTAATTCATCACACAAAATTCACACCTCGTGTAGTTTTCCTTTTACTTGATATGTCATATAGTAGAGCTTGTTTTATTTGAAAGACTGTAGTTAGCAGCCGCACCGGAGAAAGATAATATTATGTAGTTTGTAGGTTGTCTACCACGACCTAGGAATTACCAACCTAGACTACCGCTTATGTTGTGAGCCTGCGATACTTTTCCTCACTGTACGTGTTACTTGTTTCCGTCGCCTGTCGACGTGTGTTATTTTTACCCTAGTAAGCAATCCCGTGCACCACTCGCGTGCATGTTGCGTAGCGCAATAACGTACTAATACCGCTACTACGTACCAGTTGTTGTTTCATCCCAGCGAGAAGATGAACACCTGTACAGTAAACGCTAGAACATTAATATGGTAACGGTAGAAAAATCCGATGTCAGGAGAAGCTGTACGTGTAGCACACCATCTACTACCATGGTACTGCAAGTACGCCGGCGCCTAAAATAAACCACGGATGGCGCTGGTCAAAAATACGCGGCTTGTTCCTCGTTTTGCTCAGGCGTTTTTTGATTATTCCTTTCCTGTCCTATTCTTGACAGCTTTTCCACCTCCAAGGGAGATACAAGAAAGTCACAGTCTTCACACGACGTTGCTTCAGTCTGCCCAATCGAAGGATTTTCTAGAACCGTCTCGCTTCTCTGTCTTTGAGGGGCCTCGTCGTCGTGATTTCACCTTATGTCACGATTGTTGCGGACTAACACCAAGTGAATGTTGGACGCCACCGATAAGATCAAGATGTAGCGACCACGCAGCGGCACCAGCAGCACGCTGCAGGTGGTCTTATTAAACTGGCCTAGAGCTGCTGGTGCCGGAGCCGGTAGTACCACCACCAGAGCGGAACCGTAGAAAAAACTGGTTCAAGGAGGACCTTCTCGCCACCGTACAGCGGAGGTGGCAGCATGAAGAAAAGCATGGAGATGTTGTTCCCGCTTACGAAGCAGCGAGAGGAGCGGCAGGGGTCATCGTCGTGCAGAAGATTTTTTCGCAACAGCAACACACTTGCCATTGCTGCGTTCTCGTTCTGCAGTCTCTACTTTCATCCGGTCACGACACGCGCCGATCTCCCTGTCCACTGTCTGCGCAACGATGTCGCGGGCAAGTGGGTTTTCCAGCTCCACAAAACGGGGAAGCAGCGAACCACCTGCGGGCACAAGCGACCGGATTTGGCCACTGAGGAACCTTCGCTGCTGCGGTTTGACGCCATACCAGGGAGTGAAAAGCTGGAAATGCGGATCGAGTTGCGGGGGGAAGAACAAGAAGATCATACCAAAGCCAAAAGCGCGATGGCAGATGAAGCACAAGCAGCGCAAGCGCACGCAGTCGCAGTGGCACGGAAGCTGCAGCAGGAAGATAAAGAGAACAAACATCATGTGCATCAAATAAATTCCGAACCACTAACGGCACCAGACAACACGGAACCTTTCCGCAGAACCGACCCAGTACAAGCCACCATCCCACAGCTGCAGAACGAGCACAAACTGACAGCCAGACGGGAAGCGACTGCTTCTGCCCAAACGACGTCGGGCGCCCCGCGATTGGTGGAAACAGGTTCGTGGACCATGGTATACGATGAAGGATTCGAGATCAAATTTCCGACAAGAAGAGCTGCTGCTCCTTCTGGCACCGTTGCTGTTTCTGCTTCAAATGGAGCTGCAAACATCAATGCGAATGCTCCACAACTACAACACGAAAACCAAGTGCAAAATCTGAAATTCGAATCCATGTTCATGTTTTCTCGGTTCCGACCAAAGAGCAGTGGGGAAAGTACAACAAAAATACCTGCATCCCCTCCTCCACCTTCCGACAAAAAGAGCTACGAGTCCCTTTGCTCCGAGACCCTGGTCGGGTGGTGGAAAAACGAGGAAACAGGCGAATTTGGCTGTGTTCGGGGGAAGAAAGAAGACGTGGAAGTACAGAAGCCACAACAGCTGCAGCAGCTCCCGAACAACGGACAGAAGGAAGAACGCGATGAACCACGCGTGTCCTTCTTGCAGAGAGTAGAGCAACCAGCATCGCTCTCGAAGGAAGAGGAACTAGTACATCTAAATGGTCATCCGAACGCCATTGTCGAGATGAACAGTGCAGCGGCGTTTGTGGACCACCTCCAGGGTGGAGTACCAGACGGTAGTAATGTTCCTGACGCAAAAGAATCAAGCCACGAAAGAACATCCACTAACACTATCACCCCCGACTGGCTCAGAAGCAAAGCAGCGACAATCAACGGAAAGAACCTCGGGTACCGCGCAAAGCCCTACGCAAGCCGGTACGCGGGACTGAGCTACCTGCAGTTCCGAAAGAAGGGCGGCATGGTGCGGAAGAAGATCCTGGTAGAAGAGAAAGAGAACATCAAACCCGGCGACAGAAGTCGTGACGAAGGGGGAGGTCGTGGTGGTTTTCCCGCTACTACTCGTCGTGCAGCGACTCTAAATACTCCTTCCAGATCCAGCACCAGTACAACCGTTGCGCTGTTTCAGGAAGAGAGCAAAATCAGTCGAGAGGCGCTGCGGAGACACCAGTCTGCTTGTGACAAAGCTGCATCTAGTACTTCTGCTGATGCCGGTGGTGGAACAACAACCAAAGGCCCTAGTTCCACATCAGAATCAGTGTATCCAGTTCCAGCCGCGGTCCGGAAAAACTTCTTTAAAAACTCCATGGTAAGCGGGACCACGAACAGCAACACAGCAACGCCGGAAAGCGTCCCGATAGCGTCACACTTGTTGCTGACGAAGGAAGCGAGCGAGCTGTCCGAGTTGTCTCCGTGCGTTTTGCAGAAACTGCTGGAGGAGCAAGTTTACCAATCCGACGAGATGCTAGAAATCGAAAAGGAGTTCCCGAAGGAGTTTGATTGGCGCGAGTACAGGTTGCACAGCAACAATGGTGGTGATGTAGAAGTACCCGCTCAACAAACGATCAACTTCCTCGAGGCCCCCATGGACCAAAAAGCCTGCGGGAGCTGCTACATGGTGTCGACCATCCGCATGCTGTCGGCGAGAAACCGAATCAGAAAGTTTTTCGAAGCAATGGGTGAAATTAAAGGTCGACATAAAGTAGAAGTACAACAGCATCAAGCTACTAAGCAGGACAACAAGATGAAAAGTAGTGCTGCGAGTGCAGGTCAGGTACTCAGCATCAGCCTGATGGACGACCACAGAAATTCCAACTACGGTGCTGCAGCATCCACTTCACCAGCCGCATCGAGCACGACCGTGGAGCCCTTCTCGATTTCCTTCCCGCTGTATTGTTCCGAGTACAACCAAGGCTGCGACGGGGGTTACCCTTTTCTGGCGAGCAAATGGTCCGAAGACATCGGCTTAATCCCGGCGAAGTGCTTTCCCTACGAGGTAAACGAGAACAGCAGTGGGGAGAAAGTAGGGAAAATGTGCGGAAAAGTGGACAAAAAGTGCGTGTTGGAGGAAATGGGGAAGGCGAGCGCAAGAAGTGGAACAAGTTCGACTTCTAGTACTAGTAGTACACCCTCGACCTCGAAAGTGGCTGCTGCAGGCAGGCGGGAAACGACCAAAACGCCAGTAAGAATGAACATGCAAGTAGCACGTGGTCGGATGAACCATCAATCCCAACAAAAGTCCTCCGACGTGCCGGATCATGAACTTGACCTAAAACATCTCAAACTCCCGAAGGCCTCCAACTACCGCTATGTGGGGGGTTATTACGGAAACGCCTCGGTCAGAGCGATCATGCGGGAGTTGATGGAACACGGGCCCCTGGTGGTTTCGTTTGAACCAACCGAGGATTTCATGCTCTACGCCGGCGGGATTTTTTTCAACCCGACAAGCAGTAGAGCTTCTACTTCTACAACTGCTCCATCCTCTACTTCCGCTTCTTCTGAAAGCAGGACCTCGAACGACATCCAGAAAGACCCGCTGCACTGGCAAAAAGTCGACCACGCGGTGCTGCTAGTTGGGTGGGGCGATATGGATTGCAAAAGTGTCTGGGTCTGGAAATGTGGAGCTTGTGATGCGTGTCTTGCATTCCTGGAGAATCTGTGTTGCATGAGCAGCAAAAGAGAAGCTTGCTTCGTCATTGCAAAAACGCATTTTGTGATGCATGCTAGGCATCAGCAGGCGTCTCGAAAGCTTGTCGTGCTTGGCTGCCATTACAAGAGCTTCCTTCATGCTCAAAAATTCAGCATCACAGGTCTCCAGATCCAGACACTTTTACAATCCATAGACGAGGAACTCGGGCAAAAGTACTGGACCATTCAGAACTCCTGGGGCCCGGAGTGGGGCGAAAGCGGGTACTTCCGGATCGCGCGTGGGGTGAACGACTCGGGGATTGAGTCGATTGCCGTGGCCGCGGATGTGGTGGAGGCAGAAGTCGCCTCGAACGTTTTTGATGGCACGTCCAGGCCGCCCGCTGCATCCGAGACGAGTAGTGGTTCTGTTACTGGGGACGCGATCGCGAACAAAGAAGCCTCGACGAGAGACGAATTCAATGCTGTTTTCTTTTCCAATGTAGAAGCATAGTTCTTTAGCTAGACTGCTTGCTTCGCTTATGGTTTTTACGCCACACACAGCGGGCGACCCTGACGTTTCCGTTTCTGCTTTTTTCTAAATGTGAAAAAGAAAAGACCGACTTTTTCAAAGTCAAACAACCCAAGTCTATTTCGAAGTAACAGCTGCCTACGGAGTAGTTCTACTTCTCTGTGGTGTTCGCGAAGTAAAGGATCTCTCTGAAGAAGATGATGAGGGTTCGCCTGTATTAAAAAGAAAAAGATATTAAAGTGGCGTTTCTACTTGAGGCTCCGATTGAGAATGACTCGGTTACTAGTTTGTTCGCACGAGAACCCATACTAGCTAGTACACATGCTGCTCCTGTCTAGCGCACAGCAGAAAGAAATACAGGCAGGCTCGGTGAAAGGTCAATCGGTCTGCACCCTGCCGCGTATTGTCGTGAAATAAAACCGGCATCTTCGCTACTCGACTCGTGATAAAAATGTAAAAACCAGTTTTGGCCCCCATGTCATGAAATTTTGAAACTAGCCAAAGCCCACGGCCCCGTTTTTGTTTTCTTGTGAAAGAAAGTCGCTATGACACTGTCGTGTAAAACTATCAGCGCAGAACTTGTGAAGACCTCATTTTCGATCATCCATACTGTGTAGAGATAAGTGGGAAAGAAGAAGAACGTCTCCCCGGTATTGAAATTATCGTTTTGGACTTTCCCTTCAGCTTTTGGATAGCCTAACATAACCTGACCCGTGCGTCGTTTCACATAGATTCAAGTTACTCTAAACTCTACTATACCTTGTTTTCTGCCTCCTATTTAGAAGAGATCCTGCTTTTTGCACACTTTTTTTTTCGCTCACTTCGACCGTCCGACGAAAATGTTTCGCATCTTCCGAGGTGCAACAAGATCCAGCGGGGAAAATAGCTCGTCGCTGAAGCCAGGCACTACTGCTCTCAACAGAAGCGCGGATGACGAAACAAACGCGAATAACCTGATCCTTGTCGAAGATGGCCTTACCAAAGGTGCACCTGCTAAAATGAACGACCACGACGCCGCGCAGCGGCAAACTTCCACGGAGTCCACCCGTTCGTCCATCGACACGGAGGACATTGAGGTGTTGGATCCGCTGGAGCACAAATGCCCGATCTGCTTGTGCGATTTTGGAGAAGAGGAGAAGGAGGAGTTGCTGTGCAAAACCACCTCTGAGGACGCGAAGACCGGAGCTGCAGGTGGACCATCGCACCAAACCACAAATCCGAAACACGTCTTCCTGCCTTGTTGCTACGTGGCGCTGCATGAGGAATGCTTACTCGGCGTCTTGCGGGGGCAGCAAATCAAGATTGATCTACCGGGTACCAACCAAGATTTTGATTTCAACACCGCGATCCAAAAAGCCAAACACAAATCCTGTAAGTGCCCAGTGTGCCGGCAAGAATTCGTGTTGTCCGCCCTAGTCCAAGACGCCGAATTCGTCAAAAAACTGGACCTCCTAGCCACGACAAAACGGGAACTTTCCCGGAAGGACCGAGATTCGATCGCGATTAACTACGCAAACAAGGTGTTTCTCGGGGTTTTCCTAGTCGGATTCGGGGTGCGGGAGATAATTGTTGTGCTTCTGCAGTCGGCGAAATCGATTCTGAAATCCGCGTTTGGAGCGGAGATTTTTGTCTTGAAGAAGGTGAAATTGGGTGGCGATTTCGCGATGGAATTTTTGGTGCTAGGAGGGCAGATTGTAACCGAGAAGGCGGTTTTCGCTTGGGAGGAGTATATCGAGCCGGCGGCTGCTATGACAGCGGATGTGGGGAGGAAGGTATAGAAGTACAGGTTTCGAACTAGGACAATAAAACACCACTTTTCATATGCTATTTCTGATGCGTGAAGTCTACTTGCAAGTGATTTTGTCATGCTGAAATCCACCAAACCCAATTCAGGTTTTCGTCACCACGATCATCCGCCCTGCGGAATTCCTCTGGAAGCAGTCCGCACATTCCCGCCACGTCCTTGCGGATGTCACTCGACAAGCGCTCCACTACTGCGGACTAGCCATGGTCAAAACCACTGCTACTCTCCAAGATTTCCTCCTCGCGCCCACCAAGATTGTTTGCAAGTACGTGTTCTTCAAAGCCAGCGAAGTGGTTTTGAAATCTGGGTACATTATCGGGAAATATGTCGTTTTTCCAGTCGGGAAAGCCGTTCTCCACGGGTTGTTTTTCACCTTCGACGTGGCAGACAAGTATCTGTTCCAGCCTGTCTCCACCGGTACGCAATTCGTCTTCAACGATTTACTCCCGAAATCGCTTGACTTCACCTACGAAATTGCGAAGAAGATTTGGAGGACAAACTACGAGAAAATCGTGAAGCCTGTGATGAATTCCGCTAGAAAAGCAAAGGAGTTGATTTCGGTGAAGTTCGTCCACCCGACGAAGGAATTTTTGGTTATCGCAAAGAAAAACGCGGGCGAGAAATGGGAGTACTACGTCATCCCTGTGTGGGGAAAAACGAAGGAGAACGCGAGAGCCGCGGTGAGGACGGTCAAGGTCAATTTCCTTACCCCCACGGCAGAAAAAGCGAAGGAAGCGATGGCGGCAATCAAGGAGAAAGTGGTTGTCACTGTGCAACTAGCGGAGGAGAAGCGGCTCTATTTCCTGAAAATTAGTCAAGACGGCGTAAAATCCGCAAAGGAAGAAGCGAGACAAGTGTGGCGGAGGATAACAGCAGCGTCTGGAGGAGGTGCTGCTGCTGACAGGTCTAAATCAGTGAAGGGGGACGAAGAAGAAGAAGAACAGCATATTACTCTCGTGGAGAAGCCGGTCAAGCAGGAATAGCGATGCGGCATGAATGATAGTCAAGGGGAAAACGTGACTAGTAACCGGCTACTAGTTTAGATTCGGTTATCCTTCGTAAGCTCTGGCGCTTCTGCAGACTCACATTGTACAATACTCAATCAGTTTCTTTTCGTTCGCGTTAGATCAGCTGTGAATTGATAAACTGAGCAGCTGTCGTGTTTTTGGATCGCCTTTCGTTTTGTCTTGTGTACAAAATGCGAATGATGCTTAGTGCATCCAGCTTGATTGGTAGCATTGATTTTGCTTTTTTGGTTTTTTAATAGAATTTAGATTCCCGGTTGATGAAAATAAGCATTTGAGTCCCAGTCGGTCTCAGCAGGGTTTCGAGTGCGCTGCGGATAGGTACTTACAACCTGCGATTTTTGGGCGGCGCTTTCGAATGTCGGAACATGTGTAGACACAAGTACCGTGTCAAAAATCGGCCTAAATTTCAAATCCGACTTGCTTTATTTCTACTTTGCCTCGCAGCGTGTACGTAGTTTTCTCTTTTGTAAAAATCAAGATTTCCTCCCTCCCAAAGATCACTTCTCCGCGACGGAGAGGCAGGAGGAGCTTTGTACACTATGAAAGACAGCCTGGTGCTGCTGTTAACTGTTTGCCCCTGGACAGACCATAATTTTGAAAATGAAACGATTTATGATCTTCTAGTGAAGATTTTTCCCCAGAAATTATCTGGTGCACTGCCAACGAGCCACAAGATCCGCTGCGTTTTCTGAACACCAACAGCTCCACTTTTCTAAGCAAAAGTTCTAGTTCATCGGTCCCAAAGCGGTATGGTTGTAGATCTGTACCCAGGATTTAGATCCGATGGTGTTTTCGCGCATGGCAATTCTGCAAATTCAGGTCTGCGAACGAAAAGCGCTCCGACTAAAAAGCAGGATCATGCTCTTCGATCTGAAGCGAGCACAACAAACTATCGATCCTGATTTTAATTACTAAGGCTAAGTAAAGATCCCGATCCGACGTCGAACGAGACGCAGTCGTTTCATATCTGTGTGATATGAGGAGTCTAGCTCGTCTCCTATCTCGAAAGAGGAGACTAAATTTCCACACGAAGGTTCGGAATTCTGCAGAGGGACAAAATGAAGATCTCCTGTAGTTCGGGCAGATGCAGTAGAATTTAAAGATCATGTCCACATCGCGACGTTTTCCCGCTTGAAGATCTAGGAAATTTAAATTCTGCAGATCCTGCTCTTTGATGGTCATCTTGTCATTGCGCCAAAAATTTAGATTCTGACTACTACTACTTCTTTCTCTCACCTATCCAACAGGGACCTGATTCAGGGGTATATCAGTACTATACAGTAGGTACACAGAAGTAACAGTCACAAAAACACCACATCAAGATGGCGACCTCTTCTATCAAGCAGAAGATCGTGAAGAAGCGCACGAAGACCTTTCGTCGCTTCCAGCAGGCCTCCCTGAACAAGACCAAGGGCAACTACTTCATCCGCATGCGCACGGGATGGCGCAAGCCGAAGGGTATCGATAACCGCGCCCGCCGAAAGTTCCGTGGAACGACGATTATGCCCAAGATCGGGTATGGGTCGGCCAAAAAGACCAAGCACATGCTGCCGAATGGATTCTACAAATTCAAGGTACATAAAGAATTTCACTTCAACTATAGGCTTCTAACCTGATTCAGATGCTGCTTTTTACTGGACTGGCACACTGGCTGATGATCATGGATCTTCAGTGTGAGTAGAAAATTCTTGTGCGTGATGTGAGAGACATAACTGAGCCAGCCTCGAGATCACCTAACAACAATATTTACATGGCTTGGTAAAACGGAAAATGCAATTCCGGCTCTCGTTGCGCTTGCATGTTTCTGAGTGGTCTTCATTTGTCCTTCTGACTCTGCATGCAGAAAATATTGGTGCTTTCTAGGAGTGAACGTGCTTCAGACGCACAAGAAAGTCGTCTGCAGTGATCATGCTCGTAGACAACTGTTACGCATATTACAAACCTCTCCAATCTCCAATTCCCCACAGGTCCAGCAGACCTCCGACTTGGATATGTTGTTGATGCACAACGGCAAATTCGCCGTGGAGCTGGCCCACAACCTGTCTTCCCGCAAGCGCCGGGAGATCGTCGAGAAGGCCGAGCAGATGGGTCTCTACATCACCAACAAGTTCTCCCGCGCCGTCGCGGAGGAGGCTTAAGATGTGCTTCTGGAAGAAGCGGTGTATCGAAAGTCGATTGTTGAATTGTGGATGACTGGATTTCTACACGAAAGGGAAATTGAAACTGTTACAAGGACAACTCTGTAGTCGAAGTTATACATCAAAGAATTTTAAAATGCGCGCTTTCTTGAATTGCGGTCTCGAGGAACAGAAATCGCAACTGCATTTGTAGCAGCATGGAAAAGTAAATTTAATCTTTCGTATTTCAGGAGAGAGACGCTTTGCTTTCTACTGCTTGCAGGCAGTTGTAGAGAGGTCCTCGAGCAACCACGATGATGCTGTGATGTAGACTTGATGACGGAGACGGACTGAATCACAACTGCTAACTACTGTACTGTACCGGTGAACAAAAAAAAAGAAGAACGCTGCTAGCGTTTGTGGAGCTCCCTGCATAAACCAAGTTGTTTGTGCTAGTGCACAGTGATGTTCTTGTGTCGGCAGATTGGCATTTCCTCGTCGTTCCGAAGTTTGCCTTTGCGCGTTGGTACCTGGTAACGGCATGTGAGAATGCAATTACTTACGTTTACAAGCCTGGAGAGATTCTTGTGTGACGGGCTCTCGAGGGACCACTGAGTGTTTTGTGACTACTGCTGGGTCAATGCGGATGTTTTGACGTCACCTCGACGGATTGGTTGACCAGGACTCATGCATTGACTTGGAGCGATTCGCGGGGCAAGCCGAGTACTATAGGTCTGAGCCTTTAGGAGAAACTTTTTGTCGTGGATTTGAAATGAGCGAGCATCCGCCGTCAGAGGCCCAGCTGTGTAAAATCCCAGGAAATCAATGTAGCAACTGCCGTCTCGTGGTCGTCCGCGCAAACGAGCGTTCTTTTTCGCCAGATAAAGGAACAACATGATGGCGCCACTGTGCGTGGCAGCCGCGCGCTGGCATGTTTCTGAAGGTTCGCCCGGTTTGTCAGCCGCTGCGATGTCCATTGGTTGCCCGCGACAGGGGGCGCAGCGTTGTTCCAGATAGTGAACAGCCCCCCGGCACGGCATTGCGACGGCCGCGCCGAACGATAGCGGTGAGGAAACTAAAGCCCATGGGCGCGACAGCGTCGGCGGCCACGCTGCTGGGCCGCGCCGAGCGATGTCGGCGATCAAGAGCGCGACGAGTGGCGCCCTGGCCCATCAACGTGGTGGCGCGCCATGTGCGCGCTGCCTTCGTTCTGCCGCAGCAAAGGCGCGGGAGTTGGAGCCCCCCGCGCGAGGGGCCACCCGCCCGACTTGGTCGCAGTGGGCGCCGGCCGCGCGCGCCATCCCTGTGCGCGGCGCGCGGGGCCGCGCCCTCCGTGCTTGCTATTACGCGTGGCGCGTCTCAATGTGTGGCCATTGACCCTCCGGCCGTCCGAAATAGCGCACGCGTCCAGAGCGGCGGCCACACACTCTTCTGGGGAATCCCGCCCTTCTATAGGGCGATCCATCTAATTGCGTAGTCCGCCCCAGCTTGGCGTGGTTTCGCGCCCGTTCTCTCTGATGCGCGCGCGCAGAGCCGACCGCTGCTGTTGCATCTAAGCGCTTGGCGCCTATGTATTGATCTCGCCAACGCCGCGCAGGCGGCGGCCAATCAAATGATGCGTAGGCGTGGCTCGCTTGCCACCTGCCAAAGTTCCGCGGTCCAGGTGTGACCCGGCCCCCTGCATTACGAGGAGAGACGGCACACACATTTCGGTTGCAATCTTGCAGGCACGACCCGCATTGCAACACCAACGCCGCGAGTAGCTGCGGCGCTTTGTTCGCTTGTTGCTGCCACACGGGCACAGTCTGCTGCCATGTTCTTGAAAAATATCATCAACAAGAAATGAGATTATGATATCCTCCACACATGAACATGATGAATAAACATTAACATGCACTCAAATTCTTTGGAAATCAGAATCCAATCTAGTATATTACTCATTTATTAAAATATCATATGGGAGTCTGTAATCATGAGATGATGAGTCACCAATCATAATGAATCGATTTCAATCATGGAGCTAAGGCAAGACCATGGATTTTTTTTTGATTGAATTTCTTGATATCGATATTAGTTTCCTCAATCAATATCATAGAGATAATGAGGATGGATGTGGGAAAATTTATTCTCGTGAAGTCGAATGTGTTAGTGTGAAATGAAGAGAGAGAAAAAAAAATTCAATATCGAAAAAGTTCATGTGAAAATATCAATAGATTGGTGATTTTTCAGATTCTGATTTCTGATGAAAAAATTATTTTCCATCTCATCCATGACCATGGAATTCAAAATGAAATCGAAATTGATCTGAATGAAAGAGGAAAAATTTGATTAATCATTTGAAAATATTTGAGATGAATGGAGAATGTATAAAATTCAATCTTGGGTCTCCTCATAGATGTGAAGGGTTCGGTGTTATCATCATATCAAAGATTGTGAGAATAGGGTGTATGTTTCTTCGATAGATTTCATTCATTTTATATCTGTATGCATGTATATCTCCTCAACAATTCATATCATTATTCGATATCCCTCGAAATAATTCTTCATGGATTTCGATATGGTGGGACAAATTACAAAAATGGAACCCTGTGGAAATTGCTAAAAGTCGCAGAATCCATCGTAGCATCGTTATGGCGCAACCGTAGAATCGTGGTATCCATCAGGCAGCCGGGCCCGGGCAAATTTCGGCCATTGAAATCCATCGGCATAAAAGAGCACTAATATAAAAGCTTGGGCGGGGTGTGTTTCATCGGCTACGTGGTCTGCCTTGCAAGGGGCCCCGTTTTGTTTCCTTCCCATACGTGGCGCGTGGCGCCGAGGAAGGACGGGCCGGGCCCCGCCGGCTTTGGTGTTTTTGTGCCTCCACGGCCCCGGGGTGTTTTGTTTGAGTTTTTGCCCGCCTCTCAAGCGCACGCGCGCCGCGTGCCTTTTCTCTTTCCAGCTCCCGGGCTGCTTTCGCCGGGCTCCACCTGGATGGCAGCTGGGCCGGTGGGGTCTTCGGCCAGTCTATGTGGCCTCGCCGCGTTTGGGAAGGGGCGACGCGCGCTGGCGGCCTTGGCGTTTCGACAGGTTTCGTCCCCACCGGCATTGGCGCCGTCCCCCAGTCGGGGTCTTTTCGGAGGGGCGTCGTCGTTTGTTGGTCGACAGGGAGTGGCGGTTGTTGCGAAGGACTGTGGGGTTTGCAATATTAAACCCAGCAGTAACCTTCGCAATAACCTCTGCAATAATTGTTGCATTAAAAATGCAATAAAATGTGCTTTAATTTGTTTTCATTGAAATCCTTAGGGATTTCAGTGCGTAACAAATTAAAGCAAATTTTAATGCAAATATTAAACAAAAATTAAACTTAATTTAAACCACAAATTACACCGCTTGTAAAGCAAAACAACAGGGCAAGGTGAGTCCAGGGGGGGGCGTCGCCTCCGCGCCGCGGGGGGGTGTTTGGCGTGATTATTTCGGCAAGCAAGACCCGGGCTCCGCAGGTGTGGAAGCAGCCGGCATTCGTCCGGTGTTGCGCCGGATGTGGCCGGCGCGTCCGTGTCGCTTTGGTGTTTCTGCTGGGGGTGGGACTGGGGTTGTCGAGTTTTTGCCCTCGGCCGGTTTTTCCTCGTGGGGCTTTGTTGGCCCCGCATTTTTTGGGGGCGAGGTGGACAGGGGCCAATGGCTCACCCGACCACCCCCATCCCGGCCCCCTTCCAGCTTGATTGCATCGAAACCCATAGGACCGGGGCGGCCTGGCCCCCCTGCCTTGGTCCTGGCCAAGCCGCGCGGCGTTTTCGGTGTGCCCTTTGTGGGGTTTGGGGCCGGCTCTGTGGGATCAAAGTCATCACTTCGGCCAAGAAATTAAAACACTTTTATGCTGACATTACACCGGGTAGCTTGCCCGGGCCCGGCAGGCTGATATCCATCGTTATGGCTCGCCGCAGCATTAAAAATGCGCAAGTAAGAAGGCGCCAAAGATGCGAAAAAAATAAATTGCTACCTTTGTGTCCGTAACATGAGTGTATGAAGGTAGTGATTTTTTGCGCACCTTTGGGGATTTTTTGCGCGCATTTCCGACATTATTGCGAACCGTCATGTTGCTTCATTTTCTGCGCTCCAACCACCAAAAAACGAAACCCGCAAGTAAGAAGGCGTCAAAGGTGTGAAAAAAATTGCTACCTTTGTGTCCGTAGCATGAATGTATGAAGGTAGCGATTTTTTGCGCATCTTTGGGGATTTTTTGCGCATTTCCGACACTATTGCGAGCCGTCATGTTGCTTCATTTTCTGCGCTCCAACCACCAAAAAACCCACAGGATTCCATTTTTGGAGCTTCCACAAGATTCCATTTTTGTAATTAAAAATCCCACCATAGATTTCGATCATTTTTTTTCTACTTTCCGAAAATGATATCTTCCACATATGATGGATCAAAATATTCCGGAATCGATATGGAACGAAATCCCTATACCCTAAATTGAAAATGAGAAAGAATCTTTTTTTCCATTTCACCCGACATCATGGGATTTGAATTTTTGGAATTTCTCTATCTCTAATTTCAGAATGAGAAAATGATGGATATTTACATTCTCAAAGATTGCAAATGGAATGAAAACGAATATCATTGGATTTTTTTTGAAGAAAATATTGCTCCATCTGAAAATATGAATCCCATCAATTTTCAATTCGATTTATTGGAAGAAAATTCGGAATGAAACTCAGGATCTTGAAAGAATCTTGAAATTTTTTTTCAGAATTAGAGCTTCAGAATGAAGGGAGAAATTAAATTATTTTGCAGACAGATTCAATCTTTAATTCAATGCATGTTTATTGTTCTGAAAGAATTTCATCGATGATCAAGAGAAAGAATTGAAATACGGACCATGAGGATTTTTTAGGGCCTTGAACCTTTGAAACCAAACCATGCCCAGGCGCGAACAGAAAGAAAGAATCTTCGAGAATCATCTTGATTATTTGTCGATTAATATCTGACCACTTTCATCATATAATTTGAATTTTCCACGAATATGGAATGATGATACACATGACGAAAATTGGTGATATACTAGCCAGGGGGAAGGAGTCTCTATCCCGCAGCGAAATCGAGAGCACTGGGAAGGGGGAAGCAGAACTAGAAGGGGAGGACGGGGGGGAAGGGTGCGGCTCTGTCAGCTAGTCAGTTTCCGGTAGCCATTGGGGTCCTGGTTGTGTCGATGAGATTCGAGACGCGGCCTCTCTGCTCTTGGCCAAATATATTTGCGGAGCTCTTGTCAGTTAGAAACCCCGGGGCGGTGGCGGCCGCTAATTTCCAGCTAATTTCTGCGGGATTTTTTCAAACCCCGACAAGCGGGATAATAGTTGAAGGCCCAAGCCCGAAAAAGCGACAACGCAAGTTGCCGCGCGCGAGGTCCCAAAACAATCAGGAGAGGGGCTCCAGGACAAGAAAAACAAAACAACGAGAAGCAGGCCGCCTTCTACACATGGAGCATGGCAACGCCGGCAATCTCGCACAGGATGAATTCCCACAAAGCAAAACCCCAAATCCCAAAACCGCCCGAAAAGCAAAGTCAACCATTGAACACCCCACCCAGTTACAGCCATACGAAACACCCCCCGCGGGCGGCTATTTTCGCTGCTAATTCTGCGGCTAATTTTGTTTCTATTTTTGGGCTCTATTTTCTATTCTAATTTTGCTTCTATTTTCGTATTCTGAGTCATGTTCTATTTTCGTATTCTAAATCATGTTCTATTTTTGGGTTCTAAATCGTATTCTATTTTGGCTTCTAAATCGTGCTTCTATTTTGCTTTCTATTTTTTGCGGGATTCGCATGTTCGAGCGGCTGCTTTTCAACTTCTAAATTCGCGCTTCGGAGGATTTCCTTTGGAAATCTCCAGTGTCGCGAAAAATAGAAGTTGAAAAGACAGCCGCCGAACACGCGAATCCCGCAGAAAGATAGAAAGCAAAACAGCGAGCACGTTTAGAAGTCCAAAATAGAATACGACTTAAAGCCCAAAAATAGAACGCTTTCGAAAAGCCCAACGACAATGGCTTTGCGAAAGAACGAAACAGGGAGAGGGTGCAGGGATAGCAACATTGGCCACACGGCCCAGGTCTTCACAACCCAAGCCGAAAATCCGAGGGCCCCCATGAAAACCAGACCACGAGCGCTGCCCTCCACCTTCGGGGCCACCCGGGTACGAAAATACCAAAGAAGCCCCCGCGGCGTTCGAAATTCCGAATCCCCTGCAAACGGCCCTAATTTTTAAATTTTAATTTCCGTCGCGGCTTTTCATTGAAAAACACACGCGGGGCCAACGGGGGGATTTGAAAAAAACCCGGCCCCCCGGGCGCGGTGGAAAAGGGTGGAACCCTGCGGGCCCGGGAACCTTCAGCGCCCGAGGAGGAAAACCACCGCCCGCCCTAAGGGCTTCGGGGAAATCCCGCAAAAATTAGCTGGGATTTAGTGCCTCCCGCGGCCCGCGGGCTCTCTGACTGACTCTTGCGGGTAATTCTGGCTATGGAGCGGCGTTTAACGTGGCAAGTCGCTGGCTGTCGATCTTATTTTCCCGCAGGCCTGGGCCGTTTTGTGGATCTTTGCTCGTTCGTTTATTTTGAAAACTGCGCGCGTTTGAAGATCATGGCGCGTTTCATATTTTCCGCGGCGGGACTTTCTCGGAAGCTTGGCCGGAGCTTTTGCCGAGAAAGGTCGGGAGGGTGTTCGCGCCGCCTCCTTCTCTATGTGCGAACAGATTCCGGCGGCCATTTTCTCCCGTGTTTTCTTGTGTCTGCTGCGGGGCCTCTTTCTCTATCTGCGAACAGTTTGAAAGCCACGCAGAAGCGACGAGGCAAACGGCGGAACACAAGGAGGCAGGGGGGCCAGGCCTTCCTTCGGGACAAGGAAGATAGAGACGGGGAAGAGTGGAAAGACGAAAAAGGCGGGAAAAACCGCACAGACTGTGAGAACTGGGAAGGCTAGGGCAGCCTGTAGGAAAGACTGGGCGGGGCGGCTGAGAGGGTTGAGAAGCTCAAAAGGCGAAGGAAGTTCGAAAGGTTGAGCAAACTGGAGAAGCTGGGAAGGCTGAAAACCTGGGAAGGCGGGGAAACGGGAGCGAGCAAGCTTGGAAGCGAAGGCGCTGACTTGCTGAGTGGCCTCGGCGTAGCTTTTGCCTAGAGCGGGAGGGCGTTCGCGCCGCCTCCCTCTCTATGTGCGAACAGATTCCGGAAGCTGTTCCGCCTTTCTCTTTGTTGCGGCGGCTGTTTTTCTGTCATAGAACTGCTAAGGCAACCGAGAGGCCAGCAGCTCCATGGAAAAGCCCAGCGGCCGCAGAGCCCGAAGGAGGCGCGGCGGGGCCCCGTTGCTGCAGCTTCGCAGCGGCAGCAGGTAGATTGGCTGGCGCGCCTGAAACAACTGTGGCAGGCAGCTCGGAGTAGCTACAAAACCGGCTTTAAGTAGCTAAAGGACCGGCTTTAGCTAACAAGGCGGGTTTAGCTAACAAGCCGGGTTTAGCTAACAAGCCGGCTTCGGGTAAAAAACCGGCTTTAGCTAAAAAATCGGCTTCAGCTAAAAAACCGGCTGCCGCTAAAAAAGAAACCGGCATCGGCTAAAAAACCGGCCTCAGACAGCTAGAAAGCCGTCTTTGGCTTTAGCTAGAAAACCGGTCTTAGCTAAAAGAACCGGGAACGAAGCTGGGAGGCCGACAGGCTGGGAGGTTGACAGGCTTGCTGGGAAGGCGGGGGGTTTGGGGGCTGGGAGGGCCAAGGGCTAAAAACTGCAAAAATGGAGAAGCGAAAACGAAAAAGCCAGGAGGCAGACAGGCTGGGGGGCGAGCAAGCTTGGAAGCGAAGGCGCTGACTTGCTGAGAGGCCTCAGCGTGGAATTTGCCTAGAGCGGGAGGGCGTTCGCGCCGCCTTTCTCTATGTGCGAACAGATTCCGGAAGCTGTTCCGCCTTTCTCTTTGTTGCGGCGGTTGTTTTTCTGTCCTCGAGCTGCCAAGGCAACCGAGAGGCCAGCAGCCCCATGGAAAAGCCCAGCGGCCGCAGAGCCCAAAGGAGGCGCGGCGGGGCCCCGTTGCTGCAGCTTCGCAGCTTCAGCAGCTAGATTGGCTGGCGCGCCTGAAACAACTGTGGCCGTCGGTAAGTAGGCTGAGCAGGCAGGAAACGCCCGGAGTAGCTACAAAACCGGCCTTAGCTAACCAGCCGGGTTTAGCTAACAAGGCGGGTTTAGCTAGCAAGCCGGGTTTACCTAACAGGCGAGGCCGGCTTTGGGTAAAAGACCGGCTTTAGCTAAAAAAGAAACCGGCTTGCTCAGCTAAGAAACCGGCTTCAGCTAAAAAGCCGGCTTTGGCTTTAGCTAGAGAACCCGTCTCAGCTAAAAGAAACCGGGAGGCCGGGAAACCGGGAAGCCGGGAAGCCGGGAAGCCGGGAAGCCGGGAAACCGGGAAGCCGGGAAGCCGGGAAACCGGGAAGCCGGGAAACCGGGAAGCCGGGAAACCGGGAA